TGCATAACAATATCAACATTAGGTGGAGGACCGCATCGGAGACACTGCCTAACCGGTCGTCGCTTAGCGATAGGGGCGATCATGGGATGAGTAAGCTGGAGCTATGGCCATCGGTTATGTCTCCCCCTGAAATTTGATCTTCGTTGATCCACCGATCATCTCCGAATAGGAAGGAGGTTAGTTGGTGGGATGGAGGGTTCATCATATATTGTCGATATCATACTCATTGACTTCTACTCCGTAACATGCAATCAGTGCAGATGAATCTAGAAATTGACCACTTGGGAATGAGTATGGAAGCAAGGTGTTATTGGACACGTTCGTATTACTGGGAATTCAATATTCAATAATCCAATACCTGCATAAATAGGAATGTGTACTCCGTCCTATGTACACTACTGCAGTCTTCGTGGCGGGAAGATCCCATGCGGACATCCGAATGATCGGATGCAGACAGGTGCATCGGGTTGAATGCCAGATTAGGGCTTTCTGCCACGTGAAATGGAGAAAAATAAAAACAAAGGATGCATATTAAATGCGTGGCACTTGCATTGCCAGGCGCGTTCGCCGTCCAATAAAAGCACCTTCCCAAGTAGGACAAGCGTAAGATCGGATCTACCAATCGTCGATCGGCATGTAACAAGCTTGGAGGTTTAGAATTTACAGTGCGACATACAATTGGAGTAAGGTAATTTACAGCTTCCAAACTTGGAATGTAGGGCCCGGGTGTTCGAACATTGAAACCACTTTAACTTTTGAAAATTCCGTCAAGGTTCCAAGATTGACGCTTGGGGCTATTTAATTTAATTATAGTTTAGGATTTCCCTTGATGAAACACAACACGATGTGATATGTGATACAGCAGACACAATGCGCATATGAATATGCAAGTGCCATGTGTCAACCTTTTCGCAAGGCAACCATTACTTTAATAGTGGACGTCGTATTGAACGTATACATCTGCAGAGGGCATATATGGTACGCAAGATATCACATCTGCGAAGATCCAAGTTTGTCGCGTGGCTGGATATGTTTCGCCCCACTGATTTGCGACCATTGACCCAACCCGGATAAGCCTGTGTGTTCGGGAAGAAAGGGGTGAGACAGTCGCGTGGCATGGGCCCAGTGCCCCGGGATCAAGAGACGATCAGCGATCACGGCTGAATCCGTTCCCTACCCGGGTCTATGTCCTAAAGAGGATAGCTCGATCACGGTCAAGGTGATGTTCCTCGGTCAGATTGACCAGACTATCGATTATTGACTGGAAAAATAGAATATGTACGTGGAGTGAGGATAAATATAGTCGAATATAGTAGAGTGGAATGGAAGGGTGGAAATAACCCTTGGTTTAGCCTTCGAATGAAAAATCTAAACGAAAACGCAAAGCGTAATGTCGCTCCCATGGGATTTGGGCGGATCACACTTTTACCGGTTTCATGACCAAAGCGAAAAAAAAAAGCAAAAGCGCAAAAGCAAAAATAGGCTTCCGGGCGTGAAATTTCTCAGAATGAAGATCGCTAAAAGAAATGTATGTCCTATACAAATGACACTGCTCACGGCTATGACTTACATGGCTTCATTGAGTGAGATGAAAATGAAAGGGCAAATATCCATTTACCCTGGGCCGAACCAAGGGAGGCCCAATCAATGCCCACGGAATACAAAGACCGGCACCAGGCTCAGTTGAGAATAGGCGATCCGTACCAAGTGCCGACCAGGGGGTTGATCATCCGTTGGACCGGGACGATCCTGACGCTCGAGCCATTTTAAAATAGTAACCAATAAATCAATACGTTGTTGGATAGGGGGGATTGTCAGGTGAGATATGGAGTGTAGAAGTAAAATATAATTCAAAATTAATTCACGAATGTATGACTTATATCCTATTTCTATCTACTTTATTTTGCACAGTCCGTTCTATAATGGGTATTGATTACCTCCGTCACCGGCGATCTCTCGTAAAGGGCTAAATAGTGGAGCTCGCTTCCACGAGGCCGGGATGAACCCACATCTAACGGCCAATCCCCAATCGCGCCTGTGCAGAAGCCGTGCACGGCCGGAAAGGGTCACAGGTAAAATGGTTATAGGAGCAATGTTCCAGAACGCCGATCATGTCAATAACTCATTTACGATGGTAGCCATAGTTCATTTCCACGGCTTCGAGGAGTGATCTTCAGGAGCATGGTCTTAGATCGACTCTAGGCCTTATTACCTTCTTAACTTAGTATCAGGATGGGTTCTTAATTACTGAAGCGATCTTTCCTTTCTCAAACCAGTTTCACGATTGGGCTAAGACTAGAGATTACATGTAGATTACTCTGTAACTGGATATCGTTTACGTATCATGCACTAAAGTGGGAAGGAAACAAGTTTTTCTCCCATGTACTCCGTATGTTGTATGATGATATACATACATCGATGTATGTTGTATGTACTCCGCTCACTGTGCCTACAAGGTTCGTGTAAGCGAGGCAGGGCCATGGATTAATAAATGTTTCAGGCAAAGGTTCCTCTGGTCTCGCCCCCAGCGCTTAGAGCCGCCCTTGGTGATGACCAGGATCAATTGCAGCGGAAACGGTAATTAATATATTAAATTAAATTCGCAGTGCATAATCAACCCATGGATAGTATGTATGGAGTAGCCTGACCAGCGTATAAGCAGCGCAGATGTAAATATGGTTCCAAGGTTCCGGAGGTGTGGCCAAAAGCGGACTAGCGTTATCGCTTTGTGACCTTCCCTTTTGGCTTGCGCCGTTTTCCAAGGTTTCTCCATAGCCACGCGACATAATGATCTCCTGAACCCGTCCGCGGTGTCATCCCCGGGGTTTGAACTTATATTAATTATATTATTATCATAGTTCAAAGGGAGAAACCACGAGAATTATTATATCGATGTTTACACCGTATACAACCGTTCATGGCTGTCGCAGATCAATAGATCCCTGATCGATCAGCCGTTTATGGGGTTGGGATATGTGACAGGTCTAGCAGGATCTGCACTAACCGTAGCCGAGGTGCAATCATCCAACGGGGTCTTTACGGCCTCCCAATTTGGATTTAGGGCGCTGCACATCCCACAAGGCTAGAAGGTTAGGGCTTCTGCCTTCGCGTGGGTAAATCGTCATTCCCCCCACGTTAATCTCCGAAAAGAATTATTAATAATTATCTATCTCGCTTGCATTAATTTTAATTTGAATTTATTAAACCTAAAGAAGTAAAAACCAATTAAATTAAGCTTTGGAGCAGACTGCGTCTCATTAAAAATAATTTAAAAAGGGAAAATTAAAAAAATTAAACAAAAAAATGAATTAAACAATGTCGTAACGTAAATCGTAATTTTTGCCTGAGTCGGCAGAGTCCGCTGGCGATCATGGAAAGCCGCCCGCCTGCTGTGAGGTATAAACCTCGTGGCATCCCCCACTCACTGAACAAAGCCGGACTTGGAACGCACCTGGATCAAACCTCTCCAACACATCTTCTTCATCATGGATCTCTCCAACCTCCTCTCTCACAGCGCGGCTGTCAAGCCGATCTATACTCCTGTCGAGTCCAGTTACTATAAGCGCTCGCCGCCTCTGTCGCCGCCAGCCGAAGAGCCTAAGGTCTCATTGCCTTCAATCTCGTCTCTCTTTGAGGGCGCTGACGGTGCTCAGCACGCAGCTAGTGAGTGCTTGGAACCATATTGCAGCCCACAAACGGCCTCGCTAACCCTAAACCTTCCAGAGCGCCAACGCCTATCACCATCTCTCGGTGACCGCCATGTCCGGGTTCAGTCCTACGAACTGCCCCCAACACCACCTCTGCGCCCCGGCTCTGGCCACGCCCACCGCCGCGCATCTCCCGTGGAGCCGCTGTCTCAGAAGGAAGCACACCAGCATCACCTTCACCGTTCCTCTATCTCCAGCAACAACTCAGTCCACATCCCCCGCAACACAGCACCCTACGCCTCGCCTGCGCCAAGCGTCTCATCCTACACATCTCCAGTCGACGCTCCTCAACAGCCAATGTACTACCCCCGCCCGCCAACCACATCCTCCTTCCAGCCCTCAACACCAGCATCAGCACCCCAGATGCCCCCTGTCCAGGTGCAGACGCAGCAGCCGCACTCGCACTCTCACTCGTCTTCAGCTCTCATCTCTCCTGTCACCCCGGCCTGGCAACACCACCACTACTTCCCGCCCTCCACCACAGCCCCGTACCAGCAGAACCACGACCGCTATATCTGCCGTACATGCCACAAGGCTTTCTCGCGCCCTTCCTCCCTGCGCATCCACTCACACTCGCACACTGGCGAGAAGCCCTTCCGCTGCACGCATGCCGGCTGCGGTAAGGCGTTCTCCGTGCGCAGTAACATGAAGCGCCATGAGCGTGGCTGCCATTCTGGTCGCCCAGGCCCTGCCCCTGCTGCTACTGCGCTTGTTGTATAAGCGGTTGTGAATTTGTTGTCTTGGCCCTCTTCTGATTCTTGTCATGTTATTTTTCTTAAAGGTGTTTTTCCTTTGTCAGATGGGGATTTCTTTTGTTTGGCGTTGTGTGTGTGATGCCGTGATACCCTGGATCTTGGTTATGATTCTTTCTATCGGATTCCCATTTGGTTTAGATGGGTCGGTTCTATACACTATATAAACTTACGATTCTTAATGTACATTCTATGATGAAGACTCTTTATGTTTTATCCTGTAGTCGTCTTCGTGGCGTTTGTACTGATATTCGCTCTTTATTCCACAAGTCGATGACCCTCTGGCAATGCATCAACTGCTTCTCGTTCGGACTGCTCCGATCATGAACTATTTACCGGGCCGGCCAGTTCCAAGGGATCCGTTAGCTTGTAAATTCTCATTCTTGTCTATCTGTGCCCTAAGATTATCATCAAATCATTACCAACACGACTTTGGAAGTTATTTCCAAATAACCATGTAACTTCCCAATATCCAACTCGCAAGTGAACACCAAAATGAAAATAAAACATAAACACATAGATACCAAAGGCCTTCCGAGGTCTACTCATCCAAAACACCCCTCACCAACGCAGCAAGACTAGTCTCATACCGCGCAGGATTATGATCACTCAGCATGCCACCAGCGAAGCGCAGCTCACCAAACCAAGCATCAACGTCCCGAATAAACCGAATCTGCACGCGAGTCGCAGGCCTCCCAAGACGCGGATACCCATCGACCCCGAGCTCCCGCGCCGTAAACGCATCACGCTGCAGAACCCGCATCGTCTCAACGACAAAAACCTCACCGGGCGGCATGAGTTTCGGCGCACGCATCTCACCCCGCAGCATTTTCAACGTCTTCCAGGCCCAGGCGTCTTCGCCGACCCCATCACCCGCGTTGACGACCAGCGGAGGCTGGTTGACGTAGAATTTGTGGATGATGCTTTGGCGGAGGGAATCGCTGACCCGTTGGCGGATGTGCGCTTTGGCGCCCGTGGCGTCGTCTTTGAAGGATACGGAGGCTGTGTGCATGTCGTGCAGGATGCCTAATGACAGGCTGGGGACTATGTCTGAGCCATTGACGATTGTTGTTATTAGGCCTCGTGTGGCGAGTCGTAGGAAGGGGGACATCACGGCTGGGGGGGCCGTAGGCGTAGACATGGATTGGCCGGTTCGCTGGGAGGGTGTATTTTGGTGGGCTCGGGTCCGGGATGCTGAGATTGGGGTTGCTATCTGCAGTCAAGAGGCGGGGACGTGTGGCGGGTTGGTATGAAGCTGTTACGAAGGAGGTGCCTGCTGTGGAGGGGTTGGGTTCTGAAATCATCGTTGCGAGAAGGGCTGCGACACCTCCACCGAGCGAGTGCCCGCATAAGACTATACCGTAATCTTGGAATTCCTCTAGTGCCGCACGTAGGGTGATCATGACTCGGCCGCCGCCGCCCTCTAGGAGTCGCTTGGCTGAGGCGTGCATGCCTTTGTGCACCTTCCAGCTTTTGCCCTGCCATTCAAGGTCATCGTAATCGCAGGTCATGTCTGTGAGGATGTCTTCGAAGCCCCATGTTCCTCGTAGAGTGAGAACCACGGCTTTGGAGTCATGGTCGATAGAAAGGTAGTGAACCAATGGGAAGCCTGTCTCTGTCTCACCAGCTGCGTTCGAGCCACCAGCTGGATCGACGAATGACGATAGGAGGATCGTAGAGGGTGGAAGGCCTGCATTCTCTGAGAACGCACTGTGCTCGTGGCCGTCTGACTTTGTACTAGGTAGATTCTTCGAGCCACTAGGAACACCCATGACCGTGAGCGCATTTGAGCCATATGAGGCAGAGGAGAAGCGGGAGAACCGGCGAATGTTTTGCACGAAGTGTCTCTCTGGAAAAATGCCTGGAACATAGCCATCGCGATTGAGTGCCTGGATGGTTTCCATATCTTCATATGCGCTTTTGCGAGGCCGGTGCGCCAGCAGAAGTGACGTCTCAGACCCTGCAGTCGCTAGGGAATACAGGCTAGGGGTGAACGAATGGGATCTGCGATGCATACCTGACGAACCGGGACGGTCATCATTCGCAGACAAAGTCCCGTCCGCTTCCGATCTTGTCACAGACATGGAGCTGCTGCTGCGAACGTGAGTCTGGACCGCGGTAGGCGATCCAGAGCGCATACCAGCACTACGGCGTGAAAGGAATGTGTCAGTTTGAGCGAGGAGTGACTCTTGGCTCTTCTCTCGCACTGCGAAATGTCCCCCTCGTGGGCCCCTAGAGGCAGGCATTTCGTGAGACGGGACGTGTTTCGTTTGCGACTGTGGCGACAGCCTTTGAGGGGAGTTTGGAAAGGGCGACCTTCGTAAACCCCGGTTCGGGCCAGGGGTTGTCGGTCGATAATTCAGAGGTTCGGTCTGTCTCTTCTTGAGAGATGGTCTGCTGGAGACCTCTCGTGCAGTCGCTTCCTTCACAGACGCCGTTCCTTTTGTAGCCCTGGGAGGTAGACGAGGACCTTGGATCCCCGAGGGTTCGGGCGAGTCTATAGATGGTTTCTTTTCCAGTGGCCGCTTGGCCTCATTTCTTTCAAGGCCAGCCGGCCTAACCTTTTGCGCAAATTTTGCGAATGGGCCTTTGCTAGGTGCAGACTTGGGAGGTTCTTTCGGCGAGTCGGGAGTTGTTCCACGGTGCTTGAGAGCAATGCCCTGTGTGGCATCGGGATGCGAACGCGACAGATCATGATGGGGCTTCGTCGAACTATTGGACAATGGCCTGCCCGGCAATGCTCGTTTATGATGATCCGGCTCAGGTAGGGAAAAATTTCCAGAGTCGTCATAGGGTCGCAGCTGAGTGCTCTGGGATTTGGTGAAGGCTGTCCTAAACACCACTGTATGCCTGGGGCACCGTCCTGGCCATCAGCATGATCATGGTGGAATCTCTCCTCTATCAGTTTCGTTCCAGGCGGTGCGGCGATCTCTGCCATATCATCATCGTAGATATCGACGGTGATCGTTCGCGCCGTCAGGGCTTCCGATCTGATAGATGCGTGACAGCCTTGAGGAAGCTGGCTCATAATATAAGCGCGGATATCTTCATCGGACACTTGCTCTTGACCGTCCAAGGGGATAGAGAGACGATGCCGAAACGAATCAGATACACTCGACCGTCGGACTACATCAAAAGCTTCGTCGCCATTTCCAGGCATCACAAACGAAGCACTGCCAGGCTCAACCAACTCTTCATTATTGCGCTCGGGAAATTGCAGTTCATGGGATCCGATCACGTCTGCTCTTGCGCCGTCATCCAGGATGACAACATCCCAAACAATCTCATCCCCGCCGTTCTGCCGCAGATGTCTCTCGGTATTCTTCTTACCCCAACGCTGCAATAGCGCGAAGCCTAGGGAGCCGATGAGAAGGTCTCCGACGCCGATGTTCTCGGTACTTGCGCCGGGCTCAAGAGATCTAAACTCACGTCGAATCAGCGTGATAATAGCCGCAATGGCCCTCGAAGACTCGGTGGATCCAAGAATGGCATCCAAAGTAGATAGAAGTGCCTGGGAGAGATTCGCAACCGAAGACAAAGTGGTCGACGAGAAATGGAATGTCGCTGCGGCGAAAAAAGATGCCGAGGTCACCGTCGTGTGGAGTGTCGCCAACTAGGGGGTGTTACTCAAGACCAAGTTGATAGGCCTAGAGGGTCCAGGAACATACACTTCGCTCCAGAAGAGACTCGGCTTCTGTCCTACCGCGATCATCGCCACTACGAATGGCGACATCTCTTCCTGCCCTGGTCAAGATGCCCTCGACTAAAGCCCGGCTTAGTTCCAAGCTGGTCAGAGTCGTGGCTCGCGCACCATCCAGGGCCGCCCCGCCAAAGAATGTGCCCAGTCGCAACGATAACGAGGTCGACTGGGTAATCAAAGATATCAACGACGCGACTGGTCGCGGGAGCAGAGTCGATCCCGTGGGAACGTGAGCGTGCGCATGGTCTAGATTCGTCTCGACATCGGGTTTTCCCCGGTCATTGGACTTTGTAAACATATCAAGAACAAGAATAAGGGATATTCAACCCATAAGATTATTTTTACATTGATAGTGTGTCCCTCCATGTAGGTTGTAGGTTGTAAGCCAAGTTGGTAGCCCAACAATTGAAGATCGGCCTTTCACATGTGATCGACTCCCAAGACTTCTATACACGTTACTATGTCCGATTCTACATCATCGCTTTCACATCGCCTCCGTATTGCACCTTGCGAATCTGACTCCGGTCGCAATCTTTCACCCTCCGAATCCCCGACAGGCCCATGTTCTGCCACAAATCGGTTAAAAGCCCCTTAAGGACCTGTCTAGCCCCGTCTCGGCCCTGAATGCTCAGTCCGTAAATCACCGGTCGACCAACAAGAACTGCTTTGGCTCCTAAGCACAGTGCCTTGATCACATCCGAACCTGTCCGAATCCCCGAGTCGAAAAGTACCGTCATCTTGTCCCCGACAGCATCGACTATTTCAGGAAGAACGTCCAAAGACCCGATAGCACCATCCACTTGACGACCTGGACGGAAATTAGAGAAGAACATGAAAAGCCGATGAAGGAAGCACCTACCACCATGATTGGATACCACAATCCCATCACACCCATATTTCAGCGCTAGCCTCGCATCCTCCACGTGCTGGATCCCCTTCAACACAATCGGCCCATCCCAATTCTTCCGCAAGAAAGCCAAATCCTCCCACGAATGCGGACTTCCAGCGAAAATGCCACCGATCCATGCGCGCGAAGCACCGATAATATCCTCCTCAATCTTCGATCCAGTTTCCTTCTCGAACTTCGCGCGGAAAACAGGATCGCTAAACCCGACCTGGTTCCCCACCCCCTTGATAAAGGGTACGTAGGCGTTATCCAAATCTGCCGGCCGCCACGCCAGCGACCAGGTATCCAAAGTAACAACCAGAACTGAGAACCCGTTCTCTTTCGCCCGCTTTAGCAGCGACAGAGTAATATCGTTGTCCTTCGGCCAGTACAGCTGATACCATCGCTTCCCGTCCTTGTTGGCGGTCGCAACCTCTTCAATCGAGCTCGTACTCGCCGTGCTCATCGTATACGGCACCCCGACGTCCTCGCATACTTCTGCAAGGCCTGCCTCCTTGTCTTCATGGAAGATGCCCTGTACGCCGACCGGTGCCATGATAAGGGGATTATCGTATTTCTGACCGAAGAGCTCGACCGAAACGTCTTGCTCGGGTGTCTGGGTATGTCATCGGTCAGCGAGAACGTAGTCGTAGTTCATTGCATATTGCCTCAGCTCACATTTCGCATCATTCGTGGGATCCTATTGACCTCGTCAGTCGGTTTCTGATTATCGTTGTAAATGTCTAGAAACCTACAGCTTCCACTGCCGGAATGCCAGCCGATTGCTATCCATGGTCGCTTTCTCGCCTGCTCCGCCGGCGACATAATTGAATGCGCGAAGGCCTAGAGACTCTCGAGCTTGCTCCTCTAGCTTGCGGGGATCGGTGGTTACACCAGGCAGGATGCTCATTAAGGCACCCTTGCCATAGATCTCCGTTTGGTAGCTACCGTAGTTATCAGACATTGCAATCGTTGTAGATCGTTGGAAATTGGAAGGTTAGAGAAAACCAAGTCCAAAGCTGGGGGGTCAGCTATACCCCCGGTGGTGCGGAGATGAATTGGACCGAGGTTGCATGGCTCCATGCATTACAACACGTTGCGCAAAATATCGTGTTTTATAAAGTCATTGTCATCCCATAATACGCAGAAAGTCAAGTGAATTATAGCTATTCATACTTTACCCAGTAGCATTACTACTTCGAGCTCTAAGTCGATCGCCATGCCCAGGACAACAGGAACCGACCTCGGGAGCAGCCAATAAAAACAGTAAGCATAGTAAATCCCATCCATAACCCAGCGACTGAGACATCCTCGGATGGAAAAGACGAAATCCGAACCCCTTCAATCCACGAATAATGTAAATAGCACCTGTCGCACTAGCCGCATACAAAGTAAAGGCTTCTTGCAGATATGCACTGGCACACTGAAACAGAATCATCACAGCGTAGGCCAACAGCCCCATGCCAAGACCGGCATAATCCAATGCCTAACAGCCTGCGCTCCCCATCTGTACCACAGCAGACCGACCGGGGCGATGATCGATCCCGGGAACATGAGGACTACTCTGAATTCTTTTGGCCATGCTTCTTCTGGGCTCCGCAGATTGGGTTGCGAGAAACCTGCATACCTGTGAATCAAGGAATTATCCGTTTCCTGAGAGTAAGGCCCCGTCGAAGTCAAAGATAGATGTCACCCAGACAGAACAGTCCCGGAACAGTTGCCATGTCGTGTATTGCGTGGTAAACCCACTAGCGACAGCCCCAATAGAAGGCCCAAAGACAGACACAAGATTGTAGACGGCTTGACTGAGTCACGCTCTCTGGAAAACAGTGGCCGATGATACCAGCGCCCACCTACATTTAGCACATTAGAGCAAGGCCTGGCCGCAGAAGAAGGGGCATACTCGCAAGTCCACCTGCGCATCCTATGCCGCTGAGTAGACGAGAAGCGAGTAATGCCCCCTTTTCTTCGAGCGACCCAAAACACCAGGTCGAAGATCAGGGTAGAATGAATTCCCGGAGGGCAAGACTGCGGCTCTCCCAAATATCTCGTTCAATGGGCCTAGTCTCAGAGGGCTGAGACAGTATGTCGAGACGGAGGTTGGGAGTACCAGGACTGCTTCTATGGGCTGACCATATGCAGTTCGTTTTTGACGGTGCTCAACTCAGGTGCAACAATCGATGAAGGCAGTGGCATTGGAAACACTGAAAGAGAGACAACAAGTGTTACGTTCCATTTGTTTGGCCCGGGCCAGTTCAGTGGGGTTGTAGGTGCGTTTTCTTCCAAGGCGATGGTCAAGCACTGGTGGGTTTGATGCTGATCTCATCACAGACTTGGTGAGGATTGCCATTTGGAATCGGCTATCTCATGGCCTCAATCCAGGGAAAGATATGCACTGGCAACATAGAAACGTCGAAGGGCACATTTCTTCAAATTGAGCCAGAGAAGTCGACGAAAGCAGGGGTTTTGATATTAGAGCAGAGTGGACGATCTTTGTCGGCTCTACCGACTTCGACCCAACTGCTCAATCCAGACAAAGGGAAATCTTTGGTTGCGGCTTTTGATCAATTAAAATAAGTTGATTGCTAATCGCAAAGAATTGCATGCCAGCTGAAGAATCAAGAACATTGGTGGGTATCTCAAATAAAACAAAGAATAAACTAACGCGCGAATCAACGAGAAGGATCTTCCCTCCACGAGAGAGAATCACGCCGAGTTCCAGACTTTGATAGTCATGTCATCAGATGTGTAAACCGCCATTTTCTCGTCGCACGATAAAGTCATGGCCCGAACCCACCCAGAATAGCCCGTTAAGACTCGGACGCAAGCAAACTCCAATGGCACAGCCCATACGCGGATTGTCAGGTCATCGGCCGCTGATGCCAGCAGGTTCCCATCGGTACAGAATGTGATCACGCGCAGAGGTCCAGAGTGTCCCCGGAGGACGTTGAGCATGGCGCCAGAAGCCGTATCCCAGATGCGCAGGTCCTTGTCTTGCGATCCCGACGCCAGCAGCTTCCCATTAGGAGAGAAGCAGACGGCTCTGATTGAGGAGTGATGGCCGCTTAGTTGATGGATTTCATTGCCGGTGGTTGTGTCCCAGATGCGAATTGTATTATCGTCCGAGGTTGAAGCGACAGTTCTTCCATCAGGCGAAAAGGCCACAGCGCGCACCCAACCCGAGTGCCCATTGAGGGTTTTGAGCAGCGAACCCGAGTTTGCATTCCATAGTCGTACAGTGAAATCATCTGAGGCTGAAGCGAGGGTTCTTCCATGGGGGAAAATGCTACCGCTCGAACTTTACCAGTGTGGCCCTGCAGCATGCGGTAGGTGAACCCGGTGTTCACGTCGCTGATGCGAATGGTCATATCATCGGAGGCAGTGGCTAAGAATCGGCCTGTGGGGGAAAATCTCACAGAGCGTACCCAGTTGGAATGGCCGTTGTCTTTTGCGGCGCCGCGCTGGAGACCGGTGTTGGCGTTCCATAAACGGATCATCATGTCATTGGAGACTGAGGCGAGGATTTGGCTATTGCCGGAAAGAGCCACATCCCAAATGAAGCCAGTATGGCCATCAAGAGTTTTGGATGCGACTAACTTCCCAAAAGAAGGAGTGACTAAGTCTGCCATTGGTCCACGGGTTGAAGCGGTACTTTTTGATTTGGATGGATTTTGGTGGTGCGAGACCCAGAAGAACAGAAAGTGAGGACGCCGTCGTTCCAGATCTCCTTATGGCGGAGAAAGGAAAGGAAAACACCAAATTCAGTAGTCGTTTGCAAAGGTCTGTAAAACGCGTGGACGTGAAGGATTTCTCATAGTGGGAAGTGAAGTCATGAGAGATGTGTGTCTGTCAGCAGTGCATTGCGGGGTGAACAGAATTGCAGGGGAAAAAAGTCCCGTTCATATCAGATATCAATCCTAATTGAATATGGTGCAGAAGGAATCAGAAAGTGATAGTTCCTCCCGAGGTCTTTCTGCAGCAAATAATAGGCACAAATAGGCAAAAATGACAGCGGAATTTGCTATTAGGTAAGCTGGCTAGGCCGGTCCACGGGTCTATATTTTTTGATCTGCTGACCTTCCTATTTTGCTGTGTCAATGGAGAACTCTTATACCAGAAAGGAGACTTGCTATGTAACAGATAGATACCCATGGATAGATAGAATGTCCCACAGGCGTATCGAGACCTACCTAGGTACTGCCATATCGGATTTGACCTGTATTGGCTTCCATATTGGCCTCAGGCGCCGTATTACGTCATCATATGCGAATCCCGAGGTCAGCTCACTACATATGTACATATACTCAGGACTACCTACACAGGACTACGCAGCTACATTGAATTGATTTAATATATCGATGATACGATCATTATGCAAAATTTGAATAAAATCCTAAGAAATAGAAGAAAGGAAAGACATAAAAACACAGTTACCTAGGCCATAAGTACTTTCTCTTATCAATCGGCAAGGGTCGTTATCCGAAATCTTGGCGCTTGGCAACTTTAATTCTTCCTTTCGCTTTTGGCTTTTTGCCTGAGATTTCTCCCTTAACCTTGGAACATAAGCGAAAGTGACTTCGGGAAACGTATAGGCCCAGGGGCCGAGTCCATTCCTCTAGCATTCTCTTCTATCTGATTTTCGGCTTCTCACCATGGGCCATACTGAGCCTGACACCGGTTCACCTAATGACCAACATGTGCCTGATGAAATCAGCTTAGGGCCAACTCTGGAGGGACAGATCGAGAAGACTCTGATCAGGAAGATCGACCTACATATCCTTCCTATCGTAGTGTTGTTGTATCTCTTCAGTTTCCTAGATCGAGGTACGTGCCCAGGTGGGGGTGTCTGACTCATCCCTTTGCGATTGCAACTGGAATCAAAAACATTGGCTGACTTGAATATGCAGTCAATATTGGAAATGCACGCTTGTACGGTCTGGAAGAGGACTTGGGTCTTGTTGGCAACCAGTACCAAGTCTCCGTGTCCATCCTTTTTGTGACCTACTGTGTACGCATATCACGCAATCCAGTCACCGCACGGACGCTAACCCTAATGTTTTAGTTCTTCGAGGTCCCTTCAAATCTTGTCCTCAAGAAACTAAGGCCATCTCAATATATTGCCACAATCTCAGTGATCTGGGGTATCATTGCAACTCTCACAGGGATCACTCAAAATTATGGCGGCTTGGTTGCCTGTCGAATCCTACTCGGAGTCGTAGAAGCAGGTCTTTTCCCGGGTTTTATAACCTACCTCACTCTCTTCTATAGCAAACGCGAGATTGCCTTGCGAACAAGCTACCTGTTTAGCAGTGCAGCTATTGCGGGAGCCTTTGGCGGTTTACTGGCTTATGGAATTGGGTTCATGGACGGCATCTGTGGACTTCGAGGCTGGCGCTGGATCATGATCATCGAGGGGATTCCGACGGTTCTAATTGGCGTGGTAACTTGGTTCGCCTTGGCGGATGACCCGGACACGGCTTACTATCTCAACAAAGAGGAGCGGGCACTTGTTGCCCTCCGCCGGAGTCGTTATATCGGCCAGACAGAGTCTGCCCAGAAGTTCCACTGGGCGGACGTGAAAGAGGGTGTCTTAGACTGGAAGATCTGGGCATTCTCCATTGGCCAGTTTGGTATTGATACCATGCTCTATGGATATAGTACCTTCCTTCCTACTATCATCAAAGGCATGGGCAACTGGACCGTCGCCGAGGTCCAGGCATTGACAATCCCTTGCTATGGACTCGGTGCAATTGCATACCTGTGCGTTGCCTGGTTGAGCGATCGCTCCCAACACCGTGCATTTTTCATATGTCTCTTCTGTGCTATCTCAGTCGTTGGCTATGGCATCTTGATTTCGGACTCGTCCTCGGGAGTCCATTACTTCGGTGCCTTGATGGTTGCCCTGGGGCTTTACGTTGCTGTCGGTTTACCTCTCGCCTGGCTACCTACGAACCTGCCACGATACGCAAAACGCACCTATGCCACAGGCTTGCAGCTTACCTTTGGAAACATCAGTGGAGTCATGGCCCCTTTCTTGTATCCCAATTCCGAAGGCCCGCGCTTTGTCCGTGGTAACGCTGTCACTATGGGTATGGTGGCATTTGCGGGGGTCGTGTATGGTGTCATGTGGTTTTCCTATCGGTATATCAACAAACGCAGAGTGCAGGGTCTGGAGGACGAGAAAATATCATCGCTGTCGGAGCAGGATATCCAGGAAATGGGTGATCGAAACCCCAGGTTCTTGTACAGCATTTAAATACCCAAGCTGACCTATCTCCTTAATGTATCTTCTCCTTTGCATGATATCTTCTGCATACTACAGCGGGGCATACAAAAAGGTTTCGGCCATTAAGCCGCCACAGTTCAATAATATTATCTGGTCCTACCAACTGCACATGATTAATGTCGCATACACAACTACTGCATTTTCTTTTCTATATACATTGAATTCTTGTTGAGGCCACACATGCTTCGCTGGTAACAGCCAGTGGGGATCTAGGATACGAATTTCATGGGGACGAGGGGGGAGGGGGGGTTTATACTCGGAGGTGGGGACATCCGCTCCTTCCTCCTGATCACCTGCCAGATGCTGTCAACCTTGGAAGCACCAAATTACCGGATTAGGCTACCGCTCTGAGAAAAACACCATCCAACCATCTCTGGACGCCATCAAAAAATCATGATGTCATTCCCAACTTCTCCACGTTTTAAGTCTACAAACATCAACCTTTCCACTCTGATCCACTCTGAACTCCAAATACTCACCGTTGTCAGATCCATCAACTTGATAGCAACCACCATCAAAAACCATGAAGAGCTTTAAGCCTCTGAACCGGGCATTCCAAGCAGCCAGTGCCACCTACCCCACACACTCACTTCCCCTCCGCAGCACCTGTTACCTCCAAGCACAGAAAATTCCTCAAACAGAGGACCTCATCCTTGAAAGGTGTATTCTCAACCCCTCTCGGGCGGAAACCTGCCAATCAGGTACCGACGACGAAGTCGGGCGTCACAAATCTCCATATGACCCGTCCAAAACAGCACCCGAGAAGGAACACCTCGCGTTGGAGGAAGAATACAGATTGGAAGGAGATACTATTCACGATCCGCTTTTTGTCAGTCCTGCAAATAGGGATGTCAGTCAACTTTTGGATCCGAGGGCTGGCGTCCATGGTTTACAACACTTGAGGAGTGTCAAGGGCTGGACTAGAAAGGGGAAGGAGGCACTTCTAAGGAAGTCGCCGTACGAGATGAGGAAATACGAGAATGTATTTTGTGAGCTTAGGAAGCCGCTAAAGGTTTGTTTTTGAGATCGATATGATTGGCTTTCTTTAGGGCTGGCTGACATGGTCTTTAGAAGGCTTGAGTCCACCAGTTCACAATCACAAGGATTTTGTCCACTCTTTCTCATTGTTATTAAATTGAGAACAATGACGTTTCCAGGTTTACTATTGATTAGTTCTTGCACATTGTTCGTACACAAGATATTTAACCCACGTCTAGGCAAATTTTAGCTTAGCCCAACCAGGACTCCATTTTCGTTCTCGAATGTCATGCTAATCCTTTCCGTCCACTCTTTAGTATTATAGTTAGATACATTTGAAAAGGTCTGGAAAATACGAGCCACAATGTACGTGAGCACAGTCATAGCATACTGTCCTGCATTCAAATGTTGTCATCAGTTGGTGTGTTGACCATGGTAGCAAGGGAAGAAAACTTACGACCAGGGCAAATCCTAGGACCCTTATTGAACGGGATGAAGCCGGGCATATCACCGTTTAGGTGTTCCCATCGCTCTGGGTAAAATTCCTCTGGACTTTCCCCAAAATCCTTTCCTAGGCGATGCCGAGCCCAGGTTGAAAATACCACAATATCACCTTTTCGAACTAAAACTGGCGACTGGCCATCAGTTCCTCCACCACTTGGCATTGTGGAATGCTTGTTTGCTACTCTTGCGTTGAACACAACGGCAGGGAAAACTCTCATCACTTTACAAGCTATGGGTCAGTGCATGCTTTTGATGCTAAACGATTGATCAAGCTTTCCTCACCTTCCTGGAGTACCCAGCGAACATAATGCAATATTCCAAGCTGACTCCACGTTGGTGGCGTAAGCCCGATGGCATCGATGATGCTAGTTCGGAGCTTTTCGACGATACGTTCGTCCCGGGATAAGCAATAGAAAAGACCCGAGAGAGTGGTGCTCATGCTATCATTTGCGAGCAGAATGCTCATTGCCTGGTCGGCGAACTGGGAGATCTTTTCGAACTTGTTGAAATCATTGCCAGCGCGCCCACCTTTTGTCTTTTCAATCCTGCTACTCTCTCTTTCGACCTCCCGCCTGGCACGAGCCATTACATATTTCCGCGCTCTACAGCACGACCGATAAAAAGCTCGTTTAGGCATCAAATGACGGAGTGGGCCACGAAAACCATCTCGCACGATCCTCTCTTTGATGACATCAAGATCGCCTACGAACTGCTTCTTTTCTTGGGATTGAGCAAAGTCGAGGGCATCAACAGACTCTCCGAGAGAGAACCGGGTCTGCATATCCAAAGCGAGAGCGGAGGTACAACGTTGAACGTCAAAGACCTGGCCATTTGGTGGAACATGTTGAAGAAAGGCCTGAAAGTGCTCTTCGCATAATCCCAGGTCAATGACCTTGCGGAGGTTAGATAGCCGATTCCGCAACTGCTCCCGACTTCTCTTCCAGTCTTCGCCGTCGAGAGTAAAAATCCCATGTGGAGTGATTGGCTCAAACAGGGGTTTCCGCAGGGGAGAACTATCGAAATCGGCAAACGCTGTGGACAACATATGCTTGATGTTTTCTGCACTGCAGGTGAAAACTAATCGGTGACCGAGAACATTGGAAGCATATGTCTCGCCATATCTCTGGAACAGTGAATTTGTATAGAGGAGTGATGTTCGCTGCCGAAAGTGAGAAGCCAATTTCGTTGCTTTCAAAATACTGAAGACGTCATATCGAAAATGATCGCTTTCACTAGAGAGCTTCTCGCAACCATACAGTCGTTCAAGTGTTCGCAGTTTTTGGATCTGGTATAGTCCTCGTGCCAGGAGAACAATCGGGATTCCGATGAAAGCAAATAAAATAGCCCGCGAGAGATTCACTTGCCCGGTAGCTCCTGGCGATGGCTGAATTGTCATGATTGAGGTATTGCGTCGGTCCGCAATAAAGCAGAAGTTATCGACAGACGGCACGTGTTGTGAATCACCTCCGGGGTTGACTGTCTGCTCTTCGGAAAAGAAATAAAAGATTTAACGATCAGATATTACTGCGGGGATGATGTGTCATACTATTTATTGTACAAAACTGTCTTGTCAAGATCCACTCGAAGACAGATCATGCTGCAGATATATTGCTGCCACGCCAGCACACATTTTTGCTTTTTGGACTAATGCAGCTACGGGAAAAGCAAGAGTTCAAAATTCCCATTGATTCCGGTCCGAACATTCGCAATCGGATTGGCAACATGTATAAATTCACTTATCCTGAGGATATACTTCAATATTATCTTGCAGGTTGCACATCATTCACACTCAGCAATTGACACAAACACATCATGAACATGACTTCACGAGAAGACCATGATGCTTCCTCCCTTATTTCTCAAGTAGAGCATGCGTTGAAGCTTTCAAATGACTATGCTCTCGGGTTAGTACATCCTGATGGTCATTGGTACGGCGAGATGAATACCAATGTCACTGTCACTGCCGAATATATCTTCCTTCGACAGGCCTTGGGACTGGATCTCAAAGCTGACGTCGCAGCTTACTGCCATTATCTACTATCGCAGCAGAATAGTGATGGCTCCTGGGGGCTGGCACCCGAGTACCCAGGCGATGTGTCAACCTCGACCGAAGCCTACCTGGCGCTGAAGATATTGGGAACAAGCCCGCATACCCCAGCCATGCGGAATGCTCGAGCATTTGTGCTGAAAGCAGGCGGAATTGCGTGCGTGCGCATGTTCACCCGTATCTTCTTGGCCACCTTCGGTCTGTTCCCTTGGAGTGCAGTACCAGAGCTTCCCGTGGAGCTCATGCTTCTGCCATCCATCTGCCCAATTAATATCTACAAGTTTGCATCTTGGGCTCGCGGTACTATTGCTCCTCTGTTGATTATCTGTCACCATCAACCTGTGTACTCGCTACCGAATGGAAAGTCCGCGAATAACGACTATCTAGATGAGTTATGGCTAGATTGCGCCAACAAAAGTGTGCCTTACGGTCTGCCACTCTGGGATTTAATGTCCCAAAGAGAATTTGCGGGGCTAGCATTTGGAGTTCTGGACAAAGTGCTCTACCAACTGAATGGACTTCGTTCCATTCCTCTTATTCGGGCATACGCCCGAAAGCAGTGCATCAAGTGGATATTGGAACGCCAGGAAAAGACTGGCGATTGGGCCGGAATCTTCCCGCCCATGCATGCCAACATGTATGCGTTTACGCTGGAAGGCTACGGACTAGACGATGACCCAGTCCGCCTGGGATTCCAAGCATTGGAGAGATTTGCCTGGGAAGACGAAAAAGGAAAGAGAATCCAAGCCTGTGTCTCACCTGTCTGGGATACGGCTTTGATGACGATTGGGCTGTGCGATGCTATGTCACCCAATAAACAGACTATCGACCATGCTCTCGCGTGGATCCGGGCTCGCCAGTTGCTTGAACCCCGCGGAGATTGGCGCGTATACCGGCCCCAGTTAGCTCCCGGTGGTTTCAGCTTCGAGTACGAGAACAGCTGGTATCCCGATGTGGACGACACAGCTGCGATTATCCTGGCCCAGTTGAAGCACGACACTGGATCTATTGGCTCCAATTCTGTAATTGCAGCAGCCACATGGATTCTGGGCATGCAGAACCCTGATGGAGGGTGGGCTGCTTTTGATGTGGAGAATGATAAACTGTTTCTCAATAAAATACCCTTCAGCGACATGGATAGCCTGTGTGATACATCATGTGGTGACATCACTGGGCGGATCCTTGAAGCCTACGGTCTGATGATGAAGAAATATTCTTCCGCAAAGACTGACGCGGATCCCCTGTTGCACACCCTACGTGCCGCATGCGTGCGCGGTATGCATTACCTTGCTTCTACACAGGAACCCAATGGATCTTGGTACGGAAGATGGGGCTGCAATTATATCTACGGTACGAGTCATGTGCTATGTGGTCTGGCATATTTCGTTGATGAAAGACTGGTTCGCGTGATGGTTAAATCGGCTCTGCAGTGGCTGAAGTCAAGGCAAAACGACGATGGCGGGTGGGGCGAGTCACTCCTATCATATCAATCGCCTGGCCAAGAACAGCAGGCCTCCACACCGTCGCAAACTGCATGGGCGTTGATGGGGTTGCTCTCTCATCTTCCAGTCACAGATGATGCTATTGAGCGCGGGATTCGGTACTTGGTATCCTCTCAAAGACCAGAGAAAGGCATTGGATCGTCGTGGCCCCAAGCGGTATATACTGGGACTGGGTTTCCAAACCATTTCTATCTGGGCTATGACTACTATCGCCATTATTTTCCTATGATGGCTCTCGGGCGGTATCTACAAGGAAGTCATGGCTTGAACTGAAGGGGACTTCGAAGTCAAACGACTACTCCGTGCTTATGGTTAAAGATTGCTTTCAAATATTCGCAATATGCTTGCCGGGAAACCAAACCGAATCGAAACTCGTCCTAAATCCCAGAAACAGGGCCTGTAGTTCAAGAGAAGTCATATGCAGTGTTGTTTCAGACGTGCATAGTGAGCGGCCCGTGGCCTTTTGACAAGTATCTGTTTCCCAAATTGGAGCCATAGACTTGCGGCATCGTAATAGATATGTGACTGGTACTTGCATTAGCGCTGGGTAAATGCGATAATAATATGCAGTCCTACGGAGTAGACTAGGTCCTCCCCAAGAAAAGAAAAGCGACTAGCACACAAATCATCTGCCCCGATTCATATCACTTATTTTCTTGTGACTCTTCAGATCCATGTGTTAACGCCAGGGAAGCATTATTTCAAGTCCGGAATAAAAGCTGAGCCTTGATACTGATGCTTATTTCTCATGTCACCTATGTGCAGGAAAAAGCAAAATGTAAGTAGATATGGTATATCTGAGCTACCTATATTTGCAGGATGATTGCTTTTTCGGCAGACCTATATAGCAATTCATAGATTCTCTCCCAAAGAACAGACCACAGGTATGCAAGCTATATTAAAAGATAATATTTCATCGATGATTTCATCTCACCACAATCTCTCCACTATCTTGCAAGCTGAACACCCACCTCCCATTAGCTGTCAGAGATGAGCTTTTTATCTACATTCTGGCGTAAACGCCCAGAAAGAGTGCCTACCGATCGGGTTATTCCTCTGCGATACTGGGATGACCTGGATTACCTACGTTCTATTTGCCATGCCTTTACATTCCGCTTTGACGACTCCCTGGATGCGTCCAAGCTCGAGGCAGCGCTAGGACGACTGATGGAAATCGGAGATTGGGGTCAAATCGGGGCTCGGTTGCGCCTTAATGTATAGTCTTTAGTCTTTCCCCAATCTAATTATGCAAACACAGCGTAACGAACTATCACAGGATCATGGAGAGCTGGAGTATCACATACCAGCACGGTATGATGAGACACGCCCAGCATTCATTTTCACTACTACGACATATGGCATCAACATAAACGATCACCCGTTAGGCTCCCAGCTGCCTAAGGCAAGCCAAGATCAGACTTTCTTGTCACCCTCTTCCGATTTCTTTACCTCTATAGTCTGCCACCCAGAAAGTCCTCGAGAGTTGGCCGATTGGATCTACACCGACCGTCCACAGCTCCATATCCATGCTGCTCTCTTCCAGGATGCAACCCTGCTCACAATCAACTATTTACATACCTTTTCTGATGCTATTTCACGGACCAACTTCTTCGAGGCTTGGATAGCTGTTCTTCGTGGCCATGAAGAAGAGGTGCCAGCCTTTATTCCTTATGACCATGATCCTCTATATACGTTGGGCAAAGAAGCCCCTAGACAGAGCTACCGCAATCTCGGACGACTATTGAGCGGGCTCAGCCTTGTGATCTTTGGGCTTCGGTACATGTTCGAGATTCTGTGGTCCCCAAAGTTGGAAGAACACCCGATCCGCCTTCCGGGACGGTGCGTGGACCAAATGAGGAAAACTGTACTACAGGAGCTGGCTATTACTGCTCCGAGGGGAGCAAAAACGCCGTTTGTGAGCGAGGGTGATGTTGTGGTTGCCTGGTGGGTAAGGACAATGATCAAAGCGTTGAAACCTGCACCGGACCGGACCATCATGGTGATGAACGTCTTCAATGTGTGGAATCTTTTCCCGGAGTGGTTCCCCCATGGCGCCGCAGGCCTCATCGGCAATTCATTCTTCTATTCCTACACGCTGCTTGTTGCAAGCAAGGTCCTCCAAGATACCGACTTGAAGTATGTGGCGTCCACGAACCGCAAGGCCCTCATGGAGCACAGAACGAAGCAGCAAGTTGAGGCCATGACTGCCATCCAGAGAGAGAACTTTATGAAAGCAGCGCCTGTGGTCGGAGATTCGAAACTTCTCTTCATGGCTGCTACTAATCAGCACAAAGCTCGATACTTTGAAACGGACTGGTCGGCGGCTGTTATTGCCCCCGGCATGCCCTTAAGTGGAAGGCCCCATGCCCTCGGTCGACCATCTTATGTCAACGACATTGAGTATTGCCGAGGGTACCCAACTCGTAACATTGTGAGAATTATTGGGAAAGATGCTGGGGGTGATTGGCATCTTTTGTTCAAGGCTAGAGCCGGCGCATGGCCGGTGATTCACCAAGAGTTGCTGGACCTGATCGAGACAGGCAAGCAGGATTGATATGGTCCTCGACACGTCATACCTTGGTTCAAGCGCTGATTTCAGCTGCTGTTTAGCCACTCGCATCACTCTGTATTTGATATGGTAGTGATATTATAGTTGGACGTGTCTCCATAGCCAAATGACCTACGAATATGGCTTAAAGATGTATTCTATTGGCCATTGTCCTTGTGTGCCATGTGGGACTAAAGCCCATGCGTGGCTCCTTATGCGCAATAGGCCTTACTACCGGTGCCGTAGGTTTCCTTCGCTACCCAGACCGAAGCTGGATAGCTGCACTATGTCTATGTTACTTTTATGAAACACAACCTTGGAAGCATACGAATGTTGGTATATCTTACATATGATCATAAACCAAGTTCGGCCTTCAGGTAGACAACAAACTTCCCATGAATCCCCGTATCAATCGTTCCATCTCCCGGGGGGCCTCGGTTGGTGGAAAATGCCGAACATCCTTGAGCACCTCTAGCTTGCAGGACGGCATCTCCCGCAGAATTGGAGTGATCAATTCTTCCAGAACAGCCGAATCCTTCTCCCCGACCACCATCAGAGCAGGAACCTTGATCATGGCATACTTATCGCCCATTGCAAAGCTCAGGAGCGCATTGGCATTATTCCGACGACCATGAGCGGGCCATTTTGCTGCTTCCAGGGCCGTGACTTTGTCCAGCCCCATACTGGTGTAAAAGAAGACGCATTGGCTCGGACTTTCCACACCAGAGATGAGAATCTCCTGAGACAGAAACTTCTTCACACGTTCACCGTCATAATAACCCGCCGAGCAGATAATGCCGGCGACACGGTCCGGATGGGCGAGGTAGTATGCTGCGGCGATGTTGCAGCCCATAGAATGGGTTACGAGCACAACCCTATCGGTGACGTCACATGCTTGTAGGACTTCGTGCAGGTCAGCGGCATGACGAAGGATGGAATAGCTGTCGGGAGACGTAGGCTTGGAGGAGCGCCCGTACCCCCGGTTGTCGTAGGAGATACAGCGGTACTGTGTGTGCAAATTCACGATCAAGGATTGCCAGATGGTGTCGACACCGAAATAACCCGATACGAAGACGATGATGGGACCTGTGGTGCCGTGGGATCGGAAATAGATTTCCTGGCCGTCGTCGGTTGCTGCGAAGCTCATAATGATCAAGATAAAACTGGGATTTGACTGTACTATTGCCCACTTATGTAGAGAACAGCGTCAAGCGATGGGATACTGTGGATAGATTTTCATATGAATAAGTATTGGTCAGATTTTTCATCGATGAATGGACTTGCCGGTGGGATGAAGTTTACAAATCAGCTCCACGCAGACTTCAGTCGCATTACAGACATATTACAGACATGGAGACTGCACCTGTGGTAAATAGCTGTAGATAACTCTCTTCTTTCTCTTCCCCATTTTTCCCGCTCCGTTAGTGAATGCAGCACAGTCTTTGTCTTCATAGAGATCCTTCATTGTATAGCAGTCCGTGGACATCAGCTTGAGCCGGGTCTCTTCGTTTATAGTATTTTTCGCCTTTCTCCCTTCATAACAGCACAATTTCAGAGTGAACTGGAACAGTCCTTCACCCATCTGGCAGATTTTCATAAAATTTCTCTCCCATCCTTCATATCTCTACAGCTTCCACAATATCATCATATTGCGCTTTCATGTTTTATGGTCTCACCTACTAGCTCGTAGATTCAACGGCAATCTGCATAGCACAGGGATCCATCAGAGCCATTGCCAATAAACTGACCACAGATTTGGAACAATCCTCTCGGAGACACAAGCAGTCCAAGCCAAGATGCACGCCCTGAACTCCGCCTTTTGCCCCTGCCACCGATATGAGAACCGAGTCGAAGGTTCAAATGCCTCTTCGTCGAGACTTTCGTCTCATTCGCCTTTTTCCCAAGTCTGCAGCAACAGCCCCGGTCTTCAAAATCGCATGCTCGGTATCATCTTCTCTAACTGAACGATCCCCACAAGTCTCGCCGACATACGTGCAGTTTGGCCCCGGAAGTCGCCGAATTAGTGGGTCGCTCCCCTAGCGCCTCCATTCCAATCTCGGTATTTCGGCCTCATTTACTATACACCCCTACAAAGTGGGATTCAAGCAAATCCAAAAGATCGCCGATAGGCTTTGAGGTGGGCTCAATGAATGCGCGTGTTTGGCCCCCTGATAGAACAATATCCGACTAGTCCGTTGCTCAAATACTCTTTGTATAAATGGCTACCCATATCACCTTGCGACTAAGTGCAGAGTTGTCTCCGAAAAATGAATGTAAAGACAATGCCCGAACTAACGGAGCAGTCGCAAAAAGATGCTATTGTATCAGATTGGGCCAATGATCCTGATAATGCAAAGAATTGGCCGACAGCCAAGAAGCTTTACAACACTGCTGTGCCTGCTTTACTGTGTTTTTTGATGTAGGTGTGCATTCCATCGTGTATGTGATGATTTCGCTAATACAAGACGCATTTTCCAGATCATTCGGACTGGCGATCTATTCGCCATCTCATGAAAGTGCCCAAGAGGATTTCCACACTAGCACCACACTCGCCCTCCTCCCCTTTACGTTATACGTGTACGGTCTCGCATTTGGCCCGGCTGTCTCGGCACCGCTAAGTGAAACATTTGGTCGGAGATTCATTTATGTCTTTGTGACCCCGATCGCGTTGCTGTTTATTCTGGGCGCCAGTTTCGCGAAGAACCTTGCGACTCTTGCCGTCTGCCGGTTGTTGGCCGGTCTCACAATCTCTGCGCCGCTGGCTGTTGGCGCAGGGACTATCATGGACATGTGGACGGGGATAAACACCAATCGGGGCGTGGTCTTGATCATGACCATCGCATTCCTCGGGCCAGCGCTGGGCGAACTGGTGGGTGGTTGGGTTGCCCAATACAAGAACTGGCAGTGGTCGCTGTGGACTACGTTGTTCCTCGGTGCAGGTGTCTGGATCTTTGCGCTGGGAGCCCAGGAGACTTATGCAGGGCCTGTGATGCGTCGTAAGGCTAAGAAACTTGGCTTGCCCATACCGCCGGCCCCTATCCCAGCCGGCATGGCTGGAGTTCGTTTCATGGTCACGGTCACACTGGTGAGGCCACTTTACATGCTCATCCGCGAGCCTATTGTGACACTTTGCTCACTCTACTCCTCTCTGAATTTCTCTATCCTCTTTTGCTTTTTGGCATGCATTCCGCTGATTTTCAGCACTACGTACAACTTTACGCCGGGAGAAAGTGGGCTGGTGTTGATTGGGATTGCTGTGGGATGTGCTCTCGGAGGTGTATTTTTGATCCTCCTTGATTCTTATACTCTGAAGCAACATCTCTTCAAGTACAAGAATGTCACACCACCACCAGAGCGAATGCTGTGGGGTGCAATGATAGGAGGTCCTTTGATGGCTTCCGCGTTGTTCTGGTTTGCTTGGACCGCACGGCCAGGGATCCATTGGATTAGTAGCATCGTGGCGACAGGTCTGTTTGGTTTCTCAAACATTCTGGTCTTCGTGGGTTCCCCAAATCTGGCTGCATTGATTACTACAACGTCGCTGACAAGGTTATCCCTAGGTTTCGACAATGCTTTACTTGACTAATGTATACGGTGCCAAATACGGAGCATCGGCGCTGGCGGCCAACGGGCTACTGCGATATCTAGTCGGTGGCTCATTTCCCCTGTTCACAATTCCAAGTATGTCGCTACGTCTATTTCCTCTGGAGGGACATCTTTCTCATATCTTTCTCAGTGTACAGAAATCTCGGTTACCCTTGGGCCTCAAGCTTGCTGGGGTTTTTGGCAGTCGCGTTCGCCTTTTTGCCATGGATCTTCTACATATTCGGCAACAAGGTCCGTCAGTCTAGTGCATACATCCAATAACACTTGCACATATTGAGGCAAAGATTGCTCAGCACATACTCATACATATCCCCTGGGCTTGGAATTGTGTTGAGAGCGACGTTCAAGTTGGCCGATTTTAGGAATAGGAACCAACCTAATCACCTCACTGGTTAACCGCCGTGTTCCTATTGAGATAATTACGCTCATAATGCCTCAGGACTGGCGTTAACGAGTATTTTCGAATCTGTTCAGAAAGGCCACCTGTTCTTGCCTTGCTTATCAGGCTCCATCTAGCTATACCTAGGTATTAGCTAGTTCCTACTTTTTCGTAGAGAATCAATCCTCCTTCCCTCTCTCAGCTCCCTAGAAGTCAGGTCAGAATCTGACTGACTCCTTGACAATGAAGTGGACAGAGAGACTGACTGTAGGTTGGTTGATATCATTTCATTCATCTGGAGCGCTTCAGATAGTATACATACAGGAGCGAACAAGTGGCTAGCGCGTCGGATTCCTGTAACTGACTTCAACTTGGTATGGTATCTACAGGCCTAAGGAATGCAACAGCGTTGCACCCAAGTTAAGCCATTCCACGAATCAGGCATTTTCCACAAACTCTTCCAACTCTTTATCGACAACAGGCTCCCCAAGGGATCGACAGACATGGGACTTGAATGACCGAGTTGCAATTCCATCCTGGAACATTTGGTCGATTTGCTCTAATGTACGTTGTTTCATCTCCGGGATGAAAAACCAGGCAAAAGCAAACGATGCAATCGAGAGAGCCCCGTAGATGAATGCAACTCGACCACCAATTTCCGCTTGGGTGTAAGGATTGACGAACACAATGATCAAGCCAGTGATATAGGCTCCCAGACCAGATAGCGCAACTGTCTTCTCTCTCACCTGGCTGGGCGGCACCTCGGCTGTCAGGACCCAGGTCAATGGTCCCCAAGTGACCTGGAACGAAAGGAACCATAGCATCAACATCACCACAGCTGTAACTTGCATTGTGTACGACATGCTGGCAGCCCCATTGACAGTCAGGCCGCCGATAACGAGCATACAGGCTCCTAACATAAGAGCAGAACAAGTTAACACACTCCGTCGGCCAAGAATATCGGTCGTGGCGATGGAAATGAGGTTCGCCACGACGCCAATAACGTATACCACCACAGACATCAGGAGAACTTCCTTGAATCCTATCTGCTGGAGGAATACAGCTTGGTAGTTCGCGACAAATGAGATCCCCTGTGCCTGCTGGAAAATCTGGGCACCCACACAAATCAGTGTGCGACGCCGATTAACTGGATCCGTGAAGCAAACAGTCCATGTTGCGCTGGCAAGTCGTTCACGCTGCCTCTGTAAATGCTGTTGCAAGGCGACTACCTCAGCCTCTGCTGGGAAGGATAGTCCTCGTAGGCGACGAAGGGCTACGACTGCCTCGTCGAGTCGTCCGCGAGATACAAGCCAGTGAGGTGACTCTGGCAAGAAGGGCAGACTGACCCAGCCAGCGGCGGGAATGGCAATCTGAGCGACCACTACCACACGCCACGCCCAGTCGCTAGGGATATGCCGGCACAGATACACAGTCAGAGCGGCGGCGAGACCACCGACCATGAGGAAAGCGTTGTATGTGCCGGACATCAAGCCGCGCAAGGACACCGGAGCGCACTCTCCCTGGTAAGCAGGGATGACGCTGGTGGCAATGCCTCCGCCCAGGTAGACGATGAGCTTGCCGACGATGAATTGTGCGTAGCTTGTTTTGGAAGTAGACTCGATAACAATGCCAATTGTGACAATGGCACTCTGAATCCAAAGGGTATTCTTTCTCCCAAGTCGTTCATTAATGGGCGAGCCGCAGAAAATTCCGAGGATAACTCCAACATAGCCAAGCCCGGTCCCCAGTGACTGCTGTTGAGAGGTCAGGGCCCATGTATGCGTGGCGGGATCAAGGACGCCGAAATTTTGAACAAACTGAGAAGAGCTCATCAGGCTTGCCCACCAGGCTTGGTCGAAACCAAACCCAGCGGAGGATATGGAGCCAAAAATGACCACCGCCCAGATAAGCCATGGCAAATGCCGGATCGAATCGCCTGAAGATTCTGCTTGTGTCATGATGAATGGTGTCAATGAAGCAGCCGTATGGATATGGAAAAGAATAAATGATTTGAAGCTGCCTGGGACCAAATTCTTGGGTTTCAATCCTTACACTGGAGGAAATCGATGCCTTTTAAGACACAAGGAGTCTATCAAAGGGCTCAACTTACATGCCAACTTCGCCTGGTCCACCATTACAGAGACATGGAGCGAAGAACTCGTCCAATTGGATGACGAACAGAAATAGTCGCCTAACTTTCCCAGGATTACTTCCGCTTTTTGGTTATAAGATGTATGGTGGCTTTGGTATATGTGGGACTCCTGATGCCACAGTCACTAGCGGGACAGGCGTAAAGTAAGCCTTGGAAAGATTTGATGACACGTTCTATATCAGCATGGATATTCATACATACACACGATCAAAATCACTATTTTCACTATTTTTAAGATTCAATTTCTCAACTCACCCGCAGTGCATGTCTGCTTCCCCGATCTCTATACTGGGGCTCCCCACGACCAAAACTGCGGAGTTTTGAATGCGGGGACTGGAAACTGGAGATATGGGGCCAAACCAGGCAAAATGGGAAGAGTCAAAGGCAAAAGATGTACGGAGTATAAAATGAGGCTCCACCACTTCGCCGAACGGAGTATCAGCCAGAATGGGAAAAGAGTGCTCGGGGATCTGAGTCTCCACATTATCGCCGAAGCTCAACATTGTACTCCATACAGCAGGTGGCCTTGATGAAGTGATCCCCACAATTACGAGGTCAATCAATTCAAATAACGCATAAAGAACTTGCCATTCTCTTGTAAGCACATTTTGCACCCGTGGACGTCTTCTATCTCTACTCATCTCTTCTGGTAGTGCCATATGGAAAACCACTCAATACCATGGCTTCCGATACTATCAGCACCATCGTCGAAAGACTCCTCCAATCGCTTACTCTCGAAGAGAAGGTGTCTTTGGTGGCCGGCCAAAATATGTGGCAGACTGCCCAGGTCGAGCGATTGGGGATTCCGCCTCTTCAAATGACAGATGGTCCAGCGGGTGCTCGAGGCACCAAATGGACAGATGGTTCTCTGACTACTTTGGTACCCTGTGCTATTTCACTAGCTGCTACCTGGGATCCTTCAATGGTGAAGAGAGTTGGCACTGTTTTGGGCGAAGAAACTCGCCGCAAAGGCTGTCATGTGCTTTTAGCACCAACAATGAATTTCTCCCGCTCACCACTTGGTGGCCGCAACTTTGAAGGCTATGGAGAAGACCCCTTCCTTATCGGTACCATGTCCACCGAAATGATCCGTGGTATCCAAAGTGAAGGCGTCGGTGCTTGCATGAAGCATTTCATCCTCAATGACACCGAAACACGTCGGTTCAATGTCAATCAGACTATTGATGAGCGTACCTTGCGGGAAGTTTATATGAAGCCCTTTTTTATGGCCCTCGAAGCATCGCCCTGGACAGCGATGGTCAGCTATCCCTTGGTCAATGGTGTCCACGCGGATATGAGCCCCTTCGTCCTGCCAAAACTGTTGCGGGATGAGCTGCAATTTGACAGACTGGTCATAAGTGACTGGGGAGGCTGCAATGATACCGTTCAGAGCTTGATCGCCGGCACCGACCTTGAGATGCCTGGTCCACCAGTTCGGCGCGGCCAACGTCTCCTTGCTGCTATCCATGAGGGGCTGGTCGACGAAGCGCAGCATTTGGACCCTAGCGTTCGACGAGTTTTGCAACTGCTGGAGAAGGCGAACCTTCTACCCTCACAGCCAACGGTCAGGAGCTCGGAAGAGGCATCCAATGGCGCAGAGTTCCCTAAGATTGTGCGAGAGGCCGCAGAGCGCGGATTGGTTCTCTTGAAGAACGATGGTCTTCTGCCACTCCAGCCATCTTCATTGAAAAAAGTCGCTATTATCGGGCCAAATGCCCGCAAGCCGACCGCAGGTGGCGCCGGTAGTGCAGCCGTAAACCCATTCTACATCACTACACCTGAAGAAAGCCTCAAACATGCCCTTCAAAAGGCCAATCCAGCGATTGAGATCTCGTATGAACAGGGTGTGCCGTTTACCTTGCGCCCAGGTCTCCTTGGAGATGCCCTTGCCATTCCTGACGGTTCGAAACTGGGACTTCAGGTGGATTTCTTTGCTGGACACGAATTCCAAGGCCCGGTTGTGGCGACAACATTTTGGGCTAATTCTCTGACTTATATGATGAGCGATGGTGATGTACCCCAGTCACTTCAGGGCAAGCCGTATTGCTACAGGGCGAGTGGAGTTGTCACTCCCAAGGTCTGTGGCCAATATGTGTTCAGCATTGCAAACACTGGCAAGGCAAAGCTCTTCTTAGATGATAAGCTCATCATTGACAACACTGACTGGACAACGACCACCGGGGGCTTCCTCGGCTGCTCCAGTGAAGACCGAACATGCTCCGTTGAGCTGAGTTCTACCCGTTCATACGTCTTGCGAGTAGACAATGTCGTCACCCTACCGCTTATGGAGTCATTTGACAACACGGTCTTTCCTAGAATTTCTGGCTTACGCATCGGACTATCTCTACAGGTGGATGAGACAGAGATGCTGAATCGTGCTGTGGAGTCTGCACAGGAGTCGGATGTTGCCATCCTGGTTGTCGGTCATAATAAGGATTCCGAGGGCGAAGGCGGCGATCGAACGAATATGGATTTGCCAGGTCGGACCAATGAACTCGTCTCGTCTGTCTGCGCTGCCAATCCCAACACTGTGGTTATTGTCCAAGCCGCCAGTGCAACCACTATGCCTTGGGCCGATCAAGCGCACGCTGTTGTGTTAGGCTGGTACCAAGGCCAAGAGAATGGCCCTGCCCTGGCAAATGCACTGCTTGGAACTTGCAACTTCTCTGGCAAGACACCAATTACCTTCCCAAAGAACTTGGGCGATCATGGTTCAAGCGACTGGTTCCCTGCTGAAGCGGCACGGGACCATGCTGTCTTTGGCGAACAGGTACTGATGGGGTATCGGTCGTTTGAGGAGCGCAACATTGAACCACTATGGCCATTTGGATTTGGCTTGTCATACACATCCTTCACGCTGTCCAACATCCACCTTAGTGGTACATTGACTACCTTCCCTGGTTCTCATGTGACTATTCACGTCACGGTCAACAACACTGGCCAGTGCGATGGTCATGAAGTAGTCCAAGTATATGTCTCACCATCAGTCTGTATTCGCGAAAGAGGTCTGGTCAGCTACCCCAAGACCTTGGCTGGATTCACAAAGGTGTGGGTACCTGCAATGGAATCTCGAGATTCGAGCATTACCATCAAAAGCGACGAGTTCCGGTGGTATGATAAAGAAATCTCATCTTGGAGGGTAGACACAGGCGATTACCGATGTTTTGTAGGAACTAGCGTGAAGGACGTCAAGTGCGAGTTAGGTGTCGAAATTGTTCAAGCTTGATATCGAAATTGAACGGCTCCTTCAATACAGTGCTCGCACAACTCTAGTTTCGTATTTTTTTTGAGTACTGTATGGCGCAGACGATGGTATAGACGAGTCCAACAACTCGGCACATTACTACGGTGAAGTACGGTAAGTACGCTAAATGACCTTTCACCAGATGCCGCCCCTTTGGTTACATAATATTCTGCCGGTTTAAATCCCATCTCCAGGGCTGGATTCCTTTCGAACTATATGGCGGTGTAGGCTATATATAAAGGCGGTAGGGTCAACCACTTTTACTTGTAGGTATTTGTTTTGACTTTGATATATTTTCGTGATTTGGTCTCAATAACAAGACAATTTTTCGATCAAAAATCTCAACAGGTGAGACTATTGTCTCATGAGAGGCCTCCCTGATATCCCACGCCCATTAGGAATGTCCCCGGAAAATGAAGGCAAGAGTGGACTCTCCGGGTTTTCGAGAAACTTTCGAGAAACTTTCTGTGGAAATCTCACCGTTTTCCCTGAGACATCGCCGAATTTGTGGGGCTTTCAGGGGGCTAAATATTATGTCTAGAGTTTTACACTTCCCTTGGAATGGCCCCGGGGCAACTAGATTACCCATCTCGTATTCTGGCGAAGCTAATTGAAGGTTCCACAGCTTTGGATTCCTTCGAAAAGAAGGATAAGCAGAAAAGGCCCCGAGTATAAAGTGCTGAAAGATGGCCATGCTCTCTATCAAATCAGCTGAGATACTTCATTCTATTTCACTACCTTGCAATTGCAGCGAGAATGAAGCTGAAACTCCTCCTTAGCTTCGGCTGCTTGGTAGCCGCTGTGGCTGCAGATGCCTCTTATGAGGATTCCGATATGTCAAGCCAGTTTCTCGCTGCGTCAATGCCCAACTTTCTCTTAATCATGACCGATGATCAGGATCTGAAGTTGGACTCCCTCTCCTATACGCCATTGACTATGAATCATATGGCAAAGAAAGGCACAACCTTTGCCAACCATTTCGTCACTACCGCTCTGTGCTGTCCGTCTCGTGTCAGTCTGCTCACTGGGCGCCAGGCACATAATACGAACGTAACCGATGTCAACCCACCCTGGGGTAAGCCAGAATTTCCTTTTAATTTTCTGATTCTTCCGTTTGATTTACATCTGACGGATATTTTAGGAGGATATCCCAAGTTTGTTGAACGCGGGTTCAATGAGAACTATCTTCCCGTTTGGATGCAACAGGCTGGCTATGATACCTATTACACTGGAAAACTGATGAACGGTCACTCTCTTGAGAACTATGACAGTCCTCATGCTGCAGGCTTCAATGGATCAGACTTTGTTCTGGACCCTTACACCTATGACTACATGAATGCCACGTACCAGCGGAATCACGAAAAGCCTGTCAATTACCTGGGCCGTCACACGACTGAGGTTCTCCGCGAGAAGGCAATGGGATTCCTGAGACGACGCTATAGCTGGTGAACGACCTTTCTTCATGACTGTGACACCCATCGCACCTCATTCAAACATGAATGGGACGTATGGAGGTGGTGCGGGTCCATTGTGGATGGACGAGCCCATTCCTGAAGAACGCCATAGACATCTCTTCCCAGATGCGAAAGTACCTCGAACGGCCAACTTCAATCCCAAACACGTGAGTGCCTCTTATGACATGTAAAGTTTTGGTACCTACTAACAAAATCCCTTTACAGCCGACCGGTGTGAGTTGGATCCATGACCTTCCATACCGAAATCAGACCGTGATAGAGTACAATGACCATTATTATCGCCAGCGACTTCGTGCTCTTCAGGGTGTCGATGAGCTAGTCGACAATCTCATCACACGTCTTGAAAAATCGGGAAAGATCGATAATACGTTCATTATTTACACCTCGGACAATGGTTTCCATATCTCCCAGCATCGGCTTCCCCCCGGGAAAACCTGTGGCTTTGACGAAGATATCCGAGTTCCTTTCATGATGCGCGGGCCTGGTATCCCAGAGAACCATGTGGAGAACACTGTTACCACGCATATTGACATTGCTCCCACGCTCTTCCAGCTCGCCGGGCTTCATCCGAGATCTGACTTTGATGGAACACCAATTCCAACTTCTAAGTCTACAGGTGATCTCCATGAGCATGTCGCAGTTGAATATTGGGGACAGGCGATGCTCGAAGGTGGCTTGTCAAATCTTGGTAGGTCTGCGCCTTGCCTCCCTCCGTCTATCTAATACTAATGCTTATAGGGTCCCCCACTGTACCTAATAACACCTACAAGGCTGTTCGTCTGTTTTCCACTGACTATAACTTGTTCTACTCCGTGTGGTGTAATAACGAGCATGAGCTCTATGACTTGACTGTGAGTTTTCTTTGGAACAATGTAGGTAGATTAACTAAGCTGACCAAATGTTCAAAGACGGACCCTTACCAGGTGCATAATCTCTGGACGGGAGATGCCCAAAAGGTTGATATTCTCGGGCATCCAATGAGGGAAGTAATTCCAAGATTGGATGCCCTCCTCATGGTACTCAAGTCATGCCTTGGCTCCGAATGCATCAAGCCCTGGGATACTCTACACCCGGATGGCTCAGTGACGAGCCTTAGAGACGCACTGGATGATAAGTATGATATCTTCTATCAGTCCCAGCCAAAGGTCTCCTTTGGTCGCTGCGCCTATGGCTATGAGATTGATGCCGAAGGACCCCAGCATGCCCTCAGTTTCAGAAATGGGTACGGTTTAGAGGCCTGGGTTTGAAGATTGAATGTGTGTGCCAACATTGAGCATTTAGTATATAAAATTAGACAGTAGGTGCTCCAATTTCTGGTCCGGGAGGTATACTCGGACGCTGTCATGGGTTGGGCAATCTATGTATCCAATTGGTGGGTATCTTTCGAGGGGTATATGCAATCATGGTGCTAGGCCAAGTCATGTTAATCCTGATTTTCAAGCGGAGAATGCGACCATGACTCATTGGTTTTCTAGTATCTGCAGGCAAAGATGGGATATCAAATCTACTGTACCAGTCTCCTTTTCGAAATTCACAAGTTGCTTTGGAGCCTCACTGTACTAGCAATGCCCAGATGCCAAGTTCGCCGACTAGTGGGTCCATTGGACCCACAGCATTCTTGGCGTCCATCGACCCATCCCGCAGACGCAGGTATGTCCAACGGCAAAGCTGGGATTCCTGAGATTACAGCCTTCAATCATTTGCCATCCTGGCACTGAAATCATGTGATATTTCAATAGCTAAGTGAAAAGAAGAATGATTGCTGGAAGCAATCACTTTTTTGAGGATAGGAGGAATAAACATAGATCCAACGAGTTCGTGACCTGCCTCGACAGAGGCTGCCTCAACCTCGCGTGCGGTGGCTCGGAGTTTCCCCACAGAAGAGGCTGCGATTTCCCATACGCTGCCCATCGATTTGAGAACGCCTATGTTCAACGCCAAATATGAGTAATGCTTCCCAAATGGCTGCCCGATAGGGGCAGCCAGAACAGTCACCTGGATTACAGAGCTGAGGACGAGAGTACAAGCAAAAAAAGGAGAATGACCTGTCACGGACGTAGAAAGAGAGGCGAGCTTAGAAAGTTCGACAGCTGCGTTGACAATTTTCGCTGTGTGTGTTTGGGCATTCGGCGAGGGGATGCTATAGGTGGAGGCCTGGAACAAAACACCTCGCCGGTATTTGGGAGGAAGGAGACTAAGAAGGATTTCGGGAAATGGAGGTAAATAGAGGCGCAATGCATGATCATAGCCGACTGGAAGTCAATTTGATTCACTTTTCCATCCATCTGGAGAATAGTGCTGTGGTCGCTGGGCCATCGGTGAAACCAAGCCGAGATCATTGAATCCAGTACCTCCAATGTGTCTTCACTAGCGTGTGTCTCGCAGGCGATAAGACATCGTCGGAGAATGAGTGTCGCCTCGACACGATAAGCAAGTGCTGAGATGCGATCATCATCAGAGAATGCCCGGTAGCCCAAATCCTTCGCAGATATAGAGAAGACCCCAGGGTGACCGCCCAAAAACTTCTCATCTTCAGATGGCAGGGACACATCAGGCGTCTCCATGTTGAATTGTAAAGTCCCTCCAACTTGCACGGCAGCGAGTAGAGTGTCCACGGTGAAAATCTCCCACAATGTCCGCCTCATGCTTTCAGCACGAGCGGTGTTCTGCATCTCGACAGTTTCGGAGAGCTCTCGGCAATGGAGTCCGAGCCTGAAGCTGCATTCAATAGCCGAGCCAATGCATTTCTTTGCGCATTCAGGGGCTTTACGGCCATGAAATAGGATGCTCAAAAGAAGATATGCTTGTGCTTTTTCCAAATCAAGTTCAGCGTTTTCAGTGGCAGCCCAAAGATCGTTTGAGCATTCAGGGGTTTGGCCAGGCGAAAGATGATACAACCCAATGAACTCGATGATGTTCACGAGATACTGAGGTGGTGAAGACATAACCCAGAGATCAAAGGGCGGCAATATTGGATGTGCAAGGTGGAAGTACTCGTAGAATATCTTAATCAAATGGATTCTCATTTGGGGTAAACCCTGTGGAGGCTCTGGCATGTAGGCTGGGGTAAGCTCGCTTGACGCCATAAGAGGTAATGAGGCATCAGGGAGAAATGAAGTTTCTTCAATGCTCGGGGCATAGCACGTATCGAGGCATGAAAATTCACTCGGTTGTCCTCTCCGCCCTCGACGTGATGGAACGAAGTGACAAAAGAGTGATAGAGTACGACACCGGTCACATCCCTCTAGGTTACCGTCGCATTTGAGATGTTTCTCGCGACAGTTAAGACATGCAACTGAGGTAGCCGGATTTGTGCTTGTCTGGCTGGGAGAATCCATTTGGGTTATGTTAGTGAAGAGAAAACGCTAGGTCAAGGCTCGATCCGAGATTCCAGGGCTAGTCGATGTGTGGCAAATGTGGCTGGCGGTAATGGAGACGCGTGGTGAAGCTATAGCAAAAATTCAATTGAAATGCTCCAGATTTGCATAACTTCAACGCTGCATCAGACTAGGCCCCTCGGCCAGGGCGGGCTGCGCCCCGATGAGTCATCCCGAACGGGCCCATCCGGTGGGCACAGATAGGTACCTATGTACCTGGATACATACATTGTAGGTTAGACTCTAATACTTTCTGTCTTGATACAGTGTTAGACTCTACTGGTTATGAAGCATGGAGCACAATATGTTGATATTGTGCCTACGGGTACTGCGTAAAATTATGTAAAGTGAGGGAGCGACTATGGAAGATTTCAAAGACACGGTAGTCCGTTGACAATTTGCATGGGCACCTTCCTATGTAGGTATAATATACTTTCTATTGGCGGCAGCATCCTGCCTCGTCAACAGAGTTGGAAAGTCTGCAAAAACATGAGGCAGTAATAGGTATGTCCGCACTTGCCATGGCAAGATCTCGCTGCGTGCGAATAAACAGAGCTTCGGGTTCCTTCCCGGATCTCACAAAGCACTCATACAGCCCGTGCAAACCCCATACATTGTTTAGCCGCGCCCGGCGACGAGGAAAGCCCGGTTTCAAGCCAAGATCTTCCCTGAAGACGATTTCAGCCTCTTCAACATGATTCTGTTCTAACAACAGTGCGCCAAGAGCATGACGCGACGGTTGAATCCATGCAGGTGGGTCCGCGTATGGGAGAGCATCTTCCAATTCAACCGCTTTTCTGAGGCTGGAAAACGCTAGTAAATAGCGTCCTTTGCGATACTCAAGCTCTCCTTCCAGCATAGCCATAGCAACCTGTAAGACATCAATCTCACGGCTTGGCAGGCTTCCCAGCCGAGACGAAGGGACAGCGGCATGAGCAGCTCTAAATTGTAACAGGATTTGCTGTGCTTCTTCGATCCTACCGAGAACACTCAATGCAATCCCCTTTGCATAATAGACCATTGCGACGGTGGAGCAAAGCAGAGTCTTATCTTCCGGAAGGTCCAACTGGAGGATATCATTCCAGCGCCCAAATCGAACCAGCACGTGCGGCAATATGCCCAAGTAAGCTTCAGCCCAGTCAGCCAAAGGAGGGCTGGTAACCGACAATAAACTTGGGGTCAAAATTTCACCAATCACCCTAGCAGCTGAAAGAGCCTCGGTGAAGTTACCCAGCATAATAGCAGCATATGATTTGGCATAGGCATTATGCGCCCTATACATCGTGTACATGACGGAACTGTGTTCACGGGCAAAGAACTTGTTATCGGCAAGAATAGCGGCATCATTAGCCATCAATGCGCCGCGATAATCGCCGCAGGCAATGTCGATGTGGCTTGCCATATGGAGGAGATGAGAGCCGTCGGGCACGACGCGACGGAGACTGTCGGCGGCCTTCAAGGCGATCTCGGGGAACGGTGACATCTCCATTAAGTGGATATAAAGGTGACAGAAAGCCGGGTGCTCCATGCCCCCCTTCCGAGCCATTGCAGGCTCTAAGGCTTGACGAGCCTCGACGGTGCATCCCGCAGGCTCGCCTGTTTTGACATTCCACAGATCTCTAGGTCGTGTGCACATGAGAGCTTCAATGAAGAGAGCAACGACATCTGGGTCTTCCGGGCTGAGAGTGTAGACAGAACGCATCTCGTTGACATATGCATGGTTTAACGCGTTCAAGTCGAGTGGCATCCCTTTAACTGGAAACCTGGCTGCCAGGGCTTTGATCAGGGCATATTCAATGGGTGCTTTCTCTGACTTCTGGGATAGTTCTTGGGCAAGCTTCAATGCGACACTTGCAGTCTCGACCGTCTCATCGAAATCTCCCTGGTCGAACCGGCTCCAAGCTTTGTTGTAGTTAGGTCCTAGAGCGTAGGCCAGACCCCAATAGGCCATGGCGCAACTAGGGTCAGATTCTGCTGCTGTTTTGAAGCATCGTGCGCCTTCTTCGTGGTTGAAAGAGTAGGACCACTGCAATCCACGGTCAAACCATAACTGCGCATCGCTCACGGTAGTGTTTATTGGACGATGGTATGTGCCCAGGTTGTAATAATCTGCTCCTTTATTCTGCGGATCGATGGCAGACCTGTAAATTTCTCAGCTGATGTGGGGCTTATTGAAGGGTCCCAAAAGCAGATCTTACCCCATATTTGGTGTTGAAGAATCTCTTAGACTTCACCCGATTTAACTCCAAAACTTTGACTTGAGTGTTCTAAGATACGCACTCTTATAACTGCTATTAGAGGGGGCAATGCACCGACACAACATGATATACCCAAAAGCGCCCAGTGCATTGCTATCAGATGAACCCTTGCATCAGGTTCCACCAATTCGCCGACCTTTTCGGGTCTCGGAATCCCAAGCCCAAAGCCCGAGCCTGTGGCCATGCACGAACGTGACAACATATTTGTCATTCCGATATATCGAGGTCTGGTAGAATCCATGCCTAGGTAGTGTCAATCTCTTACTCTACTCAGCTTTAACGTATCATGACCATTGGCAAAGATATCCAGCACAAGTAGAAGCTGATTCTTAGTCTTGATTAACAAAGGCAGTCTTGGTTATTCCGAGTAATTAGATGTTTAGTCTAATTGAAAGCCAACGAAGGCGCTTGGTGAGTCGGTATGCTCATTCTGGAACGAAAAATCAAGACTATGCCTTTGATCCTTTCTTCTCTTTCCGAAACTTCTTAGGCTCATACTCCTGTAAGTCACCCAAACAGGGTGCCACGAACAGACTGCGATTGAAGACACCCTTCAGAGTGAAGAGCGATACCAGAATCCACAATAATAGAACACAAACGGATAGTATCTAGGGTTATTTAGCAGCTTGAAGATGAAACATTCGACGTTGAAGTAGCATACTGTGCCTAGGACTCTGAAGAATCTGGAGGGCATCTCTCGGCCCAGCTGGTTGGTGCAGGTTGTAAAGACGCCGAGCGGGAAGGTAAATGCCCACCATCCAAGGTTGAATGGAAATTTCTTCGACCGAATAATCGCTGCCACTGCGAAAAACAGCCATAAACAGCCAAATGACCACAGGAGAAGACCTATTAGGAAGCCGATATCGTAGAACGTATCGCCTGATCCGGGTCTCAACGTTCCTGTAAGCGGGAAGACCTTTTGTGCAGCCATCCCCAACTTTTGAATCCTATACAGAAAAGAATATTGCATTAGTGTGTGGAACAATCATATCTTCTAGCCATTTTGAGGCTACTCACCCAAAGCCTCCTTGACCAAGAGGACCAAGGGGCAAAAACGTGCTAACAATAACTGCTTTCGCTGGTAGTTTGTATAGCATAAGGCGCATCAAATAAATGACGATGACCATCATCGCTAGAGGCACTCCAACGCCCCATAAAACATAACTCACGACGATAGTCCCTAGAGCATACTGAGCATTTGGGAGTATGTCAGCCATAATACCTCCCGATGCCGCCGCAACGACACAAGACACAATAGGAAGCAGCCAAGCGGCGCCCATTGTCTGTAGCTCGATGTCGGCCATTTGAGTCATCCTAGAAAGCGAGTCAGTCCTAACAGTACTTTCCAAAGAATGAGTTGTATTCACAGCATACATAATAAATGGCATTCCGAAGCATGTCATTACAGACACAACAACGTCGGCAATCCACAGACCCCAGGCAAAGTAAACAGCCCAGTCTCCCCACGCCGGTACGCAGACGTAGCAAATCATATTGATAATTGTAGCAAGCCCCATGGGAAAAGTTCCGAGGAAAAGAGACTGCGTGGGATGAGTTACCATGAGGTAAAAGATTTTCGGGTAGAGGACATAACGTAAGATCGTGATGATGAGGAAAATTATGAAGAGGAGAACATTCAAAGCGAATATCACCACTGATATCCAGTATAACCATCTGCCGTTGTAGGGTAAAGTGTTCAGCAGAATGGAAGTAATCCCCGTGCCCATATTGACTGAGAACCAACTTAGGAAGCAGAGTTAGCGAGGTTGACAACCTACGCTCGAGTTACTTACGCGGGTGTGAAATTCCGCACAATACGGCGCCAGCCATGGTTATGTTTCAACTTGGTTTGGGTAAGAATCTCCATTCTCACTTTCCGGTGACTCTGATATTACTTACATTCGTCTCTTGAATAGCCTCGCTGCCGTCAGGTAAGACCTCGTTTTTATTGTCTCGTAACGCCATCGTACCAAAATAGGTTTGAGTTAATTTCTGAGATATTCGGTACTTCAACGGTCATTGATAGAGGAAAATCCATTGAGTTTGATATATTCTGTCGCGATTCAAATCGTTTAGAGTACAAAATAAAAGTGCAAACGAACAAGGCAGATTTTTTTGAGGACTTACGAGTCGAGACCAATGGCTACCCCTTCATAGTTCAACATAGTCATAGGTACCCTAGGTATATGATGATTCACAGAATGATGATTCATACTTGAGCCTTGCCCCCGGGAGGCGGGTGAGGTCGGCGACACTAACGCCCTTTGGGGGATCAGGTGGGTCTATGTGGGCCCTAGAGGTAGCCAATGAGAGACAACCTGGCACCGCCCGGATATTTTACGGGCTGCTATGAGCTTCCAAGGTTAACAAGAATTTCGGAGAGATGTTCAAGATCATTACCTTCAGCATAGATAACTACTGAGGCTCGAGAAGAAGCAATTCCCCGAATCTCTGAAGTCCAGCATATGCCCACTTAGGAAACCGGATTACCCGTGGACGGTTTAACTGATTATCAGCCAAACCTTGCGGGGTAACTATATGCAAGAGAACACAATTTGTGATGTAGACTGTCAAGTCGCCGAAGTCATTGGAGTTCGGGGACTTATTCATCTGATTATTCCTGCGATCCAGGTCATGTGTATTCAAGGTCCACGGGTACTATTTCCGCTGACAATTCACTTCGCCTCAACATTTATAATAAAGTCCCGGTGGGCTGCACAAGCCGAAAGCCCACCGGCCCCACTCATGTATGGCTTGGGCAGCACCCCTCTCCATACTCCTCTCCATATATATATCAAACCCACTACGTCCGTAGATTGAAGGCCCATCAACTCATATAGCAAATCTTCCATATCTGATCACCCTCTCACCGACTCCACATCTCATCATGTCTTCCACCGTCAAGTCATTCCGTCAACTCATCGGCATTCCCCCTTCCACGGCCTCCACCAGTGATTCGACTCTCATCATTGTCGACGCTCAAAACGAGTACGCCACAGGCCTTCTGACAGTTGAGAAAGTCGCCGAAACTCGCAAGGTTATTGCCAAGCTGCTGGAAAAATATCGACAGAATGGCAATGGCAAGAACATTGTCCACGTCGTGCACGAAGTGCCTGCCGGCGCACCCGTCTTCACACCCGGCACTGCTCTCGCTCAGGAATTTGAAGAGCTGACACCTAAGCCGAACGAAAAGGTGGTCACTAAGAACTTCCCCAGTTCTTTTGCTAAGACCGATCTGCATGATTACTTGCAGGGACTGGGAGAAGTAGGTCAGAAGATTGTACTGGTTGGCTACATGTCACACGTTTGCATTTCTACCACTGCACGTGCCGGTAGTGAACTTGGTTATGATGTGCTCGTTGTGCGGGATGCTGTGGGCGATCGCAACATCCCTGGTGCAGATGCGGAGACTGTGGTCTCCGTGGTTCTCAGCGAGTTGGCCGATGGCTTTGCCACAATTGTCTCTGAAAGTGAGATCAGCTTGTGATCTAGTTGGGTGGATACTGGTATCTTGTACATACTTATGAACAACTCAAACCTCTTCTGCGTTGAACCGATCTCGTCATCATTCTGCGCGTAAGATATTTAAACTCAATTCGGGGGACTGTCCACATTAAAAGCCGATTCGAGGGGTGCTAATGATAAACGTAGACCGAATTTCTTCTAACACGATTGCGAAGCGCCCATCACTGACCTAGAAGATTCGTGCGAGGAATGGAAAGCTTGACTGGATTACTGGGCAAACCCGTCATAAATGTAGGACACTGGAATATGGAGAAAACATAGAATAGCATTGCACTTTCTAGTCCCGATACTGACTCTTCTCCAACCACGCCCCCTTTCGCTAAACCAGCCAAACCCCCAGCACAAAACCGAACCCATACGCGTATTTCACCCAGCTTAGATGATTTCAACCCTTCTCTTCAGTTATGATAGCAATATAACACAGATTATTCAAGGTCCAACCCATCCTGCCTTGGACGGCTACCCATCCTGAAAATGTTCAACAGGACCAACTTGATTACATATTTTGAGCTCCGAATAGCTTAAGATTCTAATGAGATATGCCGATCTCTTAGCTGGCCAGGAATGATGTGGATCACAAAACAATCTAAACAGAGATTTCTCACACCTTTCCCCAGATATCAGATACCTAGCATTTCCATGAAACTTTCCAGGCAGATGAACCACCGAAACCATCCCTTCAGTGCCAATGTCCCTGGATGACACTGAAGTGTTCGTTAACAAGTCAAGTTCGTGACGTTTTAGTTTGCAACTCCACAAGAGCACCAGGAAAAGGAAAGCACCTATATACATGAAGCCAGTAAACAATTGCGTGCCCAAATATCCGCGGAACCCGGGTGTGCGAAGTACAAGCCCAATGGCTTCACCGACTGTATTCAATCGTCAGTCACATAGTCAAGTTAGAAGGGGCTCATGGGGGAAAGGCCATACAGGTTGCAGGAATAGCGCAGGTCAACCACATTATAGTTAAACCTGATTGGAGGTCATCCAGGCCGACCACCTGGTGACAGTTAGCATAGGACATAAAACTTAGCTTGAACAAAAAGCAGACTCACAGTCCAAAAGGTGCCAAAGAAGATACCCGCAAGTAAAGCAAAGATTGTAAGTGATGCATATGGTCGAGCAAATACTCATAGCAAAAGGCAAAGCAAGCCGCTAATGCAAGTAGCAAAGGCAGCCATATTGGTACGTCCAATTCGATCACTCAGTAGACCCACGGTGGGACGTCCAAACATCTGTCCAATGTTCATAACAGCCGTGACAATAGAACCTTGCGTCGAAGTCAGGCCAACACTTCTTCCGTAAGTGGCAGGCGAGAACCAGATAACCATGAGCCCCATCACACTGAAGAAGCTCCATCCGATAAACAACCACATTTCGTAACGGAGATAAAGTCGGAAGTTGATTTTTGGCATTTGGTACGCCCTGACCCCCTGCGGCCTCCTATCCCGAATGACGAGCACGCAGATAGCGTTGACTACCAACTGAACAATTGCCAGGATACGATAAGACCATGGAATGCCAAATCGCGCTAGCATAGCATGCGTGGCTAGAGAGTAAATGATCCCACAAGTCCCGGTACCAGCGGTGCATATGCCTGCTGCAAGACTGCGGTGCTTTTCAAAGCATTGGGGGATCAAATAGGTCGTTGAAAGGTACTGCATTCCCAGTCCCCAGCCAAAACAGACGCCCTGGCTCAAGTATAGCTGCCAGATTTCTGTGCTCCAGGATGCACCTAGCAGTTCAGCGGTCTCTAAAAGACTCCGAGGGCGAGTGTCGTCTTGATGCCAAAACGGTGATGGAGGATTGTGACTAGAGGGGATATGACGAGCACATGTGACGCTGAAAGACCCCCAATGAAAGCGTAATCCAGTGTTCTTGCCCCCGCAAATGTCGAATGCGAAGTAAGATAGGCTAGAAACACGCCATAGCTCTAAGGATCTATTAGCCTTCTTCCATGTCACTCGATTCTCAACGATTGGGTTTACCCACGGAGAGGATTTTCCCCAGTGGGCATTATTCCAGAAAACAGCGACGACCATAACCCAGGTCTGGGGGCCATCAATATTGGACCAAATCATAGAAGATAACTGTTTCATGCAAGAAAAACTTTCTGTTTGAATAGGTCGATGCGTGTATGTTGTTTCCGGAGGTGAAAGGGGCCAAGAGGCGCCAGTTCAGCCTGATCGTATATACCGAAATGAAGAATATCGCCGAGGAGCCGTGGCAAATTCTGACGGTTTGAAAGCCTCGTGAGCTTCATCATTAGGCTGTGGAGTTCGGTGGGATGGGCCTGTGGGATAGTGGGATGATGACTGAGGCGCAAGACGCCCGTGGGCACACGAGAGTATAAGTATTTCAAAAGCATTATCAATGCGAAACATTTTATATTAATATCTCATATTACTCTCCACTATGAATTTTTCATCAGAGCTATAGCTTATGAAGAAACTGACACACGGTTAACGGTTTGTCATGTCATACATGGTCCACGGTTGGATGAAGAACGAGGTATCAGGAATGGCAGACTATATAAGTCCAGAAAGCACTGCTGCTCGGCTTTTTACCTCACATTCTTCAGTTTGTCATTGCATCAAGTCAATAATCCACACCAAAAGTCACCTCAACCCAACGGCACTATGTCCACCTTCAAAGGCAATGTTTCCATCACCCACATCACGACTGCCACGGCGATCATCAACATTGATGGTGTGCGATTCCTCACCGATCCTGTATTCTGCCCTGCAGGCTCTGAATATGTCTACGACGGTTGGTCCAAGGCCCCCAACCTTGGGGACTTCGGTTTCGAGGGTCAGCCTCCACCGGGAATTCTACGCAGCTTTGACGGACCAGCCCTCCAATTGCACGACATTCCACCCATTGACGCGGCCTTGCTCAGCCACGAAGATCACGTCGATAACCTCGACCCTCTAGGCCGCCAGCTGCTCAACGGCCGCCATGTCTTCACCACACCTGATGGTGCGCACAACCTCCAGCCACGCCCTGGCGTCGTCGGCCTTCGCCCTTGGCAGACCGTCTCGGCCAGACTCGGAGACAAGGATTTCCGCATTACCGGCACCCCCTGCAAGCACTTCCCTGGTGGCGAGGTGACCGGTTTCATTGTCGAGTGCGACTCCTTCGGCGTTAATGAGGCCGGTCTGCCCAATGTGGTGTACTTCTCCGGAGATACTGTGTGGATTGACGAGTTGGCGGAGATCAAGAACAAGTGGCATGTTTCTGTCGCTGTCTTGAACCTGGGAAATGCGCTATTTGAGCACCCTAACGGTGTTCTGCAAATTACCTTCGATGGGAAGCAAGCTGCTCACTTGATGCGTGTGCTAAATGTCGACCAGATGGTTCCTATCCACTTCGAATCGTGGCAACATTTCACTGAGCATCAGGCGGATTTGGCAAAGGTCTTTGATGACGAAAAGGTGTCGGATAAGGTGCTCTGGCTTACTCCTGGCGACGAAACCCCGGTGCTGGTTGGCTAGTGCGTGTGAAGGTGAATGTTCTTTGTGGCAATGTGTATGATCAACCAAAGATTAGAAAAGTCAATTACGTTCTTGATGTTTACTTCGATTCATTGAATTATTTCTCTCCCTAGCGGAGGTCCAGAGCAATAGAAATTCAAAATAGCTGTGTTGTGACAAAAAGCAGTTTCATGGACAGGCTATAACACGGTAGAACTTTCTTCAAACCGGATTTTGAGTCAATTCCACCAATTTTCGTCAGTTTCCAATAAAAGTCCGCTTTGTGAAATCCATTTGGTACCCCTAGGGTCATCCGATTTATCTTCTCTTCTAGAGTATATCAAAAGAAGTCGAGCCAATTCTGCATTCGAGCTAGCATGCCAGAGATTCTTCTTATCTGGCATAGGAAATTGTAGATCAGAGAGGCGAAGAAGTCGGCCATCGGTCTCACCAGACTCTCCCAAGCAACTCCCCCGTCCACAGAGCCGAGAAACCTTGTACAAGGCCAAACCGAACCTTTTGATCTCTTCGACCCCCACCCACATGCAGGTAATGGACTCCACATGATGATACCTTGTAAGCATATTGGGATAGTAGAATATGTTGTTTTGTAGACAGGTTTCGATCAGAGCGGAAAGGATTTGACGGTCAGACAGATGTAAGGTCAGGCTGAGGTTAAGTTCGAGACCAATCGGAACCGATGCCAGTAATGAGAATATGATGTAGAGAAGAATGCCTTGGTAGGTTGCAATCGGCCATCGTGAAGTTGGCCTGCCTGAAGCTTCGTTATCGTGCTCCCCTTCCACCGGCAATCGTCCCCAGTTGTCCTACGAATGACCATCAACGAACTGGACAATCTTTCAGGTCGGACGAGTGCCACTAGGTAACTTACCCGCTGTGCGGAAATCGCCAGTCCAATCTTGGAACGCAAGTTCCGAGCATTTTGCCGCGCCGCCGGGCTCCCACTGATCCAGAGTCCAATCATCAACACTGCCTGAAGCAGCAATGGGGGCTCGTCAGGAACACTGAATGTGTGTCGATGCAGAATTGGCCAGTGCGGATGAAAATGCGCGAAGTAAAGATGTATATAATGGTCAACTCTGGCATTATTCTCGAGGGAAGTATTGATCGGATCATTTTCACCACTGCACTCCAAGAGTTCTTCTTCGGGATCCGGTAGTGCGGGCTCGATATCGGGGAGATCCGGACCATCAAAGATGCATAAGTTTCCCTTCAAAGAGCACTCTGTGCATGGCGAGCCTCCCTGGCATCGTGTTTTGGCCATACGACAACTCCTGCAGGCCTGTGTGGCGCGAGCGAGAGATCGTCCGGGGACTTCATGATCGCGACGAATATGACGTCGAAGGCTGTCACTGTATAGCTATTCATTATCAAATGATCAATTGTATCTGGAATCAAGGATCACTCTACCTGCGAGAAAAGGCACGACCACAAACTGGACAAGTGCGAAGGTGATTTCCACGATGTTGCGCTTCGTGGCGTCGGAGATGCTCTTTACGACGGTAGCTCGAGGTACAGCCGGGGACCTGACATTGAAACTGTGCCATCTTGTCACTGTAGTCCCTAGAAAGGTGATGTGAAAGGTTATCCTGTTAACATGACTACGTTGTTTCCAGGGCCGCCCACCGGATGTCAGCCCACCGGATCAAGAGTGGGGCCATTTTCGCCATCTACGAGTTCATCTCTTCCACACAAGTCGTCCTCTCTCTATGAGCTTCGTCTGATAAAATCTAGTTCAATAATCTGATATATCTGGTACAAGGTTAAAGGGACATATGCAAGATAACCCTAGGTCTTTTTTTTGGATTATCTTAAATTTCTCTTCAAATCTCTTTTCCAATGTCATTTTTGATGTCATTCTAGATTTCTTCCGCGCTGTTATAGCAAAAAGGGAAAATTAGCTCTATAGAAATACTAGGTATGGGAATAATAGCATATAGTAGTGTGGAAAATAGAAGGCAGTATAAAGCCCAAACCGTACAGACGACTTTTATGGGGTGGCCTCAGCCCTATGGAGCACCTGTTTTACCTCCTTCCCTCTCTCTCTCGCGTTCTTTCTCTCCGTCCCACACCACAGTGGATACACGCAAGTGGAAATATCCTGGTACAGCCCCCGGACCCGTTCGAAGGGCTCAATTCCGCCTGGCCTTGCAGACAAGGCTTCCGATATTGAGGCGCCCGAATAGCTGCCACAGGTATGGCCAGCGACACCAGGGCTATCTGTGCCAATCCTGCCCGCTGTCTTGCCAAAGGCTATTGGATATCTGACAGAGAACCTGGAACTTTCGGGAGTATCTACCTAACTGGGAGGAGATACACGGTCGCTTCTATATACAGTGCCACCAGTGAATGCAAGGAAGCGGCACTAGGACACCTCCAGATGATGGCGCACTTCAGCATACGTGGATGCTTGGTATCAAATTGCTGCGAGGACAGGAGCTGGCAAGTGCGGATGTGGTGCTTATGGATGTTACCGGAGGCTTTTGAACCTCGAGACAATGCATGGTCAAATGCATCCAAAGCTAAACTACATTCTCTGGAGGATCACCGGTCAAACCATAGTGCCAACCGTGCAATAAGAGGATTGAAGAAGCAGAGAACGACCGTGATCGGCCTACGCTTACTTCTTTCTCAGCCATAGGTGATCTCTACAAAGTGATCTCTACAAAGAATACTGAAAGTTGAGGATTGGTCTCGAACAAGAGGGTATTCTGGCCGAAATGAAATAGCCTAGCATCCTGAAGCTCCAAGCGAATATTGGACAACAAAGGCCTCCGTCAAAGGACCAGAGAGTCCAGTAGTATGATGAAGAGTCATGAATCACTTGTGAAGCAACGAGTTCTTTAATCACAGTTCTTTTCCCTCAATATTGATTATAATGTAGTATTGATTGAAATTGTGTCCTCATATCTATCATGTACCTCATTGATTAAAAAATAGATTCACTCGAATTACAACTTCCATCGGCGAGCCACTGCTTGGCCATAGGGATCAAGTGTTAAGGTGGCCAGCAGCAGTTTTTAGCCCCAAACATACTCAGACAACCCAAAGCAAATCTTATAGGACGGGCAAATATGTAGCTCTTAGAGGACCTTCATTGTGGTCCTTTCTGGAGTATCGCACTCAGGAATAAGTACATATATAGACGGAACCTAGGGATCTCGAATATCTATGTACAACATAGATGGTAGATGGAGGATGAAAGTCAAAAAGTTCGAGGCGCTTCTACATGTAAAGTGGAGGAAACAGTTACACAGTGTATTGTCAAATCCAATATGGCAAAACTCATAAGAAGATATGCACTCGTTTACTCTGTACATACAGTACGGAGAAGAGAAAATTCCGTAGGTAGAAAGACCCTTGAGCGTGGAATCTCCCCCTTTTGCCGCTTTGATAGCAACGCCAAGACGACTATTCAAGCTTAAAATGCCACAAAAATGACCGGCATATCTTTTGCATTATATTAGCGGCTGTTTCGTGACAGGGATTGTATTTCGTATTACCAGGGGACTCGTAAGTGCTGACACGGCTTTTTTAACCTGATACACTGGACACATTTACAGATGTACAGGATTAATAATAGTCTATTTGGATGCTATAAGCAACCCTGACAAAAAGCGTGCCCTATTAGTACGTAACTATTTGTTCCGTACCGTCCACATGTGTAAATGCCAGATGGGCCTGGACAAAAGTGGATGATTCTCCACAGTTCAGGTGCCTTCACTATTATACATCGATATACAAAGTAATATACTACAAAGTCCTCCCGTGCTCCGGATATACTCCGCACGTTCTTAACTGAAACAGTATACAAGTTCCGGAAAACTTCAAGTTCATATATATAGAACGATGAAACAAAATAAATCAAACAGAAACCACATTTAAAAATTCCCATTTAAATGGCTGTCGATCCCGGCCCACTTGTGAGGAAATCCATGGCCCAGGAAATGCTATCGCCACTGAAAATCCGTTACCCGATAAGCTTCAATCTTTCAGGGTCTATCTTTTTCTTTTTATTAAAACTGGGAACTTGTCATGTGACATAAAAATAGATGCCAATTACGACGCATCTTTAATATGTAGGAATGTCTAAAAGGACAGATTAGATAAAGGGCTAAACATCCAAATAATGTATTATATGAATACGAATACCAGCGCCCAGCATTATGGTATAACGTCGTCAAGAAGGACGCGTGTCTGTGGGGGGGCATTGGCCTCATTTGCCCCTCCGGCTGATTTTGACTGGCTGATGCGGCTGGGTGCCAGGGCGATCGTCTCTGATCATTTCCGCTCTTTCTGCCTCTGATACGGAGTACAATTGTTGTATACCTGTCCTTTCCATTCGATACTGTTCCAGGGTCAAGGTAGTTAATAGTTAGTACGGAGTCCTCCGTCGTCCTCCGTGCTTCGTACGTATAGCTCTTATTATACAGACCCTTAAGACTTGTCTGGTCCTTTTACTTTGATGGTCAAAGCGCCAACCTGATAACAGTGACGTGATCTCCAGTTCGTGTACGGAGTAATTATTATGTTCACATCATCATGATGGGGTCTCGGGATACGAACGGATGTTTCTGGTCGCTTATATTGTCCGGGATTGCTGGTTGTTGAGGTTCAGACACAGGTGCAATCCGATTTGGATACATAACGTATCTATACATAGTAGTATCTATATGCAGAAACAAGTACTCCGTACTCACGATTTCGTACAACATACATATAGAGATACTGGGAGAGAGCAATCGGAGTTATCTGTAGGCATGAGTTTCTGGCCTATCATACAGATCTATCTATGCAGATGTCCTGAACAGCTGATCGGCATCCTCGCGCGAGCCCGCATCCAAATACGTGTCGCCGCAAACAGCCTTTTCGACCTTGAAGATACTTGGATTATGTTTGTTTTGGAGTATCAAGAGCCATATGACCATTTCCGACTTGAACAACCACACCTGTTCCCGGGTTAGACAAAAATATTATTGTTGTGCTCGAGACAGGGAAAATGAATAAAAAACCAGTGCCGATCCTCAGTTTCATGGCGGCGTAATCCTACGGAAGCTGGGAGGGGATGATCACTCCCAGGGCTACCAGCATTCCTTTTTCCGCCATGATCGACACTTCGATTCAACAGCAAAAACGAAGCAAAAGGAAGAAAAGTATAAGCCACATATCATCAAAGATGGTCCTGTCGAAAGGGCTCCGTTCCTGCATCCCACATCCCAACTTGGCATGAACACCGCAACGGGGGGATGAATACCAAAATGTCAATATCACCTGGACAGCAATTCATTCTTATATCACTGAAGACAGCATATTAAATGAAAAACGGCGAAGGGCCCGAACATCAGATATGTACACATGTACACCGATGTAGAAAACGGATAGAAAAAGAAGTTAAAAAAAGAAAAGATCTAAATAATATATTACGGTAATACCCATACACGGCCAACCCTGTCCCGTTAATTGCTTCGGCGGCCTCCCTTTTTCTTTCCTCCTCCAACAACTTGACGACCCCAATACTACAAGCTCCCATCGACTCTTCACTCGGACTGGGCACATCGTCCAGCCGCGTTAGTCTTTTCTTCTCTATTCTCTTCCTGCCCTCCTACTTCCCCCTTTACAAACGTTCCCCCCTTTGGACCGTGTCGCGGGTCCCGACGCTGCCAGCCTCTCGTTGAAATATCTCGGCACTTTATTTGCCTGCCACTCTTTAATCCACTCTTGGGACACTCGTTTATTTGATTCTTCACTCAACCGAGAATTGCATTCTTGCTACCAGCTTTTGCTGCACGATATTTCCCGGGATAAGATACCTCGCACGCCAAACCCATAACTTTTAATTCCAGGGTTCATCTGCTCCAATTTCGCCTGGCCTTCTATTTACATGTTTGAAAAGACGTCATTCAATACTGGAAAAGCCAAAATGCCTCTATTTCGGATGAAGACGGTATTCCCGTTGGTGGCTCTGGTGACCATCGGAATATTCTTCTTTTGCATGGAACGCTACGACCGCTCAGCTTTCCTTCGGTTCAAGCACCCAATTGATCGGGCCTCCTTCGGTGGAAACAAGCAACCCCAAGTACAAACGCCGGCCCAATCTGATTCGCAGCAGCCGACCAGCAGCACCTGTGAGGCTGACCCGAAATTGGCCGCTCCCCTTCCATTCCCTGAATGGCTCCCGCGCAAGAACTACACTCGTGCCTATTTCCGCCCTCGTCATGTGAACCCTCGCACCGAATTCCACACTTTGGAGGAAATCGAGAAGCCTGTGCTCCCGCCCATGGTTGTCATGGAGCGCGGTATGGTCGTATCTCCCGAGAACAGGCCGGAAAACTTTGTTTGTCCCGAGATCATCGATGTTGATGTGGCCGCCGATGACGATGTCGATGAGACCTCCAAGCTCCTGTTCGGTCTGGCCACTACCGTTGACCGTCTGGACCGCCTGCTCCCCTCTCTGCTTTACTCCTACGGAAACACCAAGGCCGGTCTGATTGTTCTAGTCCCTGAGTCTGACGACGACCTGGAGAAGCAGGAGACCTACTTCCGCAACCGCGGTCTGGACTTGACTCTCAAGGCCTCTCCGCTTGACTTCACCGCCCGCTACTTTGGTATGGTCGAGGCGTTCACCGAGCACATTCGCAAGCACCGCCCGCACACCACTTGGGTTGGTTTCAGTGATGATGATACGTTCTTCCTGTCGCTGCCCACTATTGCCGAGGAATTGAAGCTCTTCGATGAGAACAAGAAGCACTACATCGGATCTTTGTCTGAGGCCAGCTGGCAGGTGGATACTTTCGGCCACATTGCATTCGGTGGTGCCGGTGTGTTTGTCTCGAAGCCTCTTTTGGATGTCCTGATGAAGCACTACGATGAGTGCCAATCCTGGGGCGAGCAGCCCGGTGACCAGAAGCTTGGCCAGTGTATCCAGCGTTTCGGTGACACACCCCTGACCCTGTGGCCTTCTCTCTACCAGATGGACATGACAGACCCCGTGGACGGTGTTTACGAGTCAGGCAAAAAGATCGAGTCAATGCACCACTGGAACAGTTGGTACAGCAAGGACGTGGTTAAGATGACCACCGTTTCTGCTGCCGCAGGCCGCAAGTCTGTTCTCCGTCGCTGGGTCTTTGATCAGGAGGAGACTGTGAACAGCGCTACCGGTGAGACTCTCCGTCACTTCTGGGTTATGACCAACGGCTACTCGCTGGTGAAGTACACATACGGCGAGCATGTGCCGGATGATGCTATCAACTTCGATGCTACCGAAAAGACCTGGCCAGAAGACCCCCGCGGCTATGAAGACCGCCTAGGTCCCCTGCGTCCCGCAGAGGAAGACGGCGTTGCGAAGGATCGGTGGTTGCTTCGTGATGCATTCGTGGTTGGTCAGAACGTGCACCAATTCTACGTTCGCGAAGAAGATGAGGGCCACAGTGTGATTGAGATTGTCTGGCTCGGTCCCAAGGGCGGCGGTGGCGGTGGTGTGAGTGACCATTACCTTCGCGGCACTTACCAGCAATAAAATTGCACCGTTACTACTTGAGGCTGGTCCTTGGGACTGTTGCTCGTACCTCTTCACTTCGTTGCACATGATTCGGCTCTTTTTTATTTTCTAAAATACTACACATCTTCTTTGGCCCTTTTTTTTTTTTTCTGCTTCCCGACTTCACGACGCCAGCCCAATATGATTGCACAATCGACCAACCCCACAGCCCTTTTCTTTTCCGGATGAGACTCGTGATCGTGACTTGCCCTCCGCGTCCTCCAGTTTCTGTTTCATTTATCCGGCGTTGCATTGGCGGAGTCCAGTACGGTCCAGGAACCTCGTGGCTTTGCGTGCTCCCTCTATATCCTGACGGTGTATTCCGTTTTTTGAAATGTTCAGTGGCTTTTTTTTAACACCCTATCCTTGGACCCATGCGGGCCCTTGGCCGAGACTTGCCACACTTGATCGGTTTGGCCTTGCTCTTATCTTTCCTTATTTCCTATTTTCTCCATGTCTTTCGGCCTTGAGTGGGCTTCGGGGCAAAGCCACTTTTGTGCCTTATGCCTTGCATCCTTTCTGTAAAAATAGACTTGACAGCAGACCCGGTTTGGGGTCTCCGTTGGTGATTAGCGTTGGACCTTTGTTCATTATGCGAGGAATATGATCAGTTTTCGTCATTTCAGTGTTGTGCTGGGTATTCGTTGATTCGTTGGTATGCAGGAAGGGTTCCTGAAGCGACTGAGCTGGACTCCGCTGTATCGGGTCTAGGCCTTCTCGGATCGGCCCGTTGATCGGCTTTGGTTGCTTATTGTTGCTATGTGGATTCGATGGGATGGTATTATCTTTCATGGACAGTCAACAGCGGTTGATATTTGCCTGAGGCTCCCGATGTGATTAAGGAGCCCCATTGGCAAGGTGGCGTAGTAGCCACCTGGGCAGGTTCCAGGTGTAAAGGGCAATGAATGTTACGACTTTACGCTTAGAGAAATATCAACCCAGATCACCTGATGTGAAGGTATTGCAGACTTGTACACTGTAGATGTGGGAAGTAATAAATAGGAGTAATAATAGACGAAGCATGGAACAAACCCTGACTCTGGATTCCCCTGGCTTCTGCTGAAGGCCTACTGACCAGGTCACCCCGACTCCTGTGAACCTTGCAAATCCATGTCTGTGAGACCCCAAAATAGTATCTCTAGGGGCTCTACAAGTTCCATGCAAGGCATGCATGTGTGTGTAAGGGGATATGGGATATCTGGGATTATTGTATCCAGCCTGTGGCCTTGTACTTCGTACTTTTGTGCAATGATGAATGTGAGGTCGGCCCTTGTGATTGCAATCAGAAAGGAATGGGGATGGCTATAAGAGAGATAAGAGAGTGGTGACAGGGTTGCCCTTTTGGGGCTATTTATGATGTACTCCGAATGCAGCCATGAGAGTATGTTGTATACAGGGCAATTATTCCATTCCACAAAGCAGGTGCAACCCGCGCCTGTGTGATGTGAGCTCTTATTATTTTATATATATTCCACTTTGTAGATGTAACCTTGAAATAGGATGTTTCTATGATACCAGGGTCTTGATAAAAAATGACGGATACTCCTCAGGCATGTTTAGAGGTGGAATAGCCAATCACATAGCAGCGTAACGTGAGAAGTTCTGCCCCGTCGAGGCATGTGAAATGGAATGGAGTACTAAGTATAGAAAGGTACATATAGATTTTTATATTATTTCTTACACTCCAGACTTCAAATCAAGCAGAGAAATAACCGAAGAAACAGAACCAAAATTGGGGCCGGGGATATACCTAGGTAAGATACCCGTGGACTTGGAATCAGCAACAAAGGAAAAAGAGTCCAGACCAGAGGGGAAAAGGGCAAAAAAGGGCAAACGGGGGGGGCCGAAGGGAAAATCAGCAAATGAGCGGTCGGAGCCAAGAATCGTGTCTGGTTCAGATGAGGCGAATACGGCTTAATTACAACACAATTACAACACAATACAAAAATAATAGTAGTAGTACTTCTGCCTAATATCAACTTTGCTAGTACAATAAGTACCCGAACTTATTCAACCTTACAAACTGTACTAATACTATACTCTCACGTGATCCATGTAACAGACCGCCTGCCCATCGCAACTCGCACTTTGCCTTCTTCGCTCTTCCCCCCCCCATCGATTCCCCCATTCCCTTTCTCTCACATCCCATAAACGCGTTACTCGATTGGGTCATCTCTTGCTTTCCCCTTTCGGTATCCCCCCTCAAATCATAACCACCCCCCCATATTAAACCTCTTTTTTGTTCTTCTTTATTGCCAATATGTCTGCGGTTCTCGACGAAAAGCTTTCCCCTGGTCACGATGACCTTCCCGGCAACGGCGCCGATGCCCGTGGCACCAAGCGCAACCGCATGAGCGCCGACGATGAAGATGATGATGATGATAAGCCCGGCCGTGAGCGTCGCAAGATCGAGATCAAGTTTATTCAGGATAAGTCGCGTCGGCACATTACTTTCTCCAAGCGGAAGGCCGGTATCATGAAGAAGGTACGTCGCGTCCCGAGCCCCCTCCGCATCAGTTCCCCGATCGAGGTTCCTTCCACATTTGCTCGATTGGGACACTCAACTAACCATCGTGGAACTACATAGGCCTACGAACTCTCTGTCTTGACTGGCACTCAAGTTCTCCTCCTGGTCGTCTCCGAAACCGGCCTTGTCTACACCTTTACTACCCCCAAACTTCAGCCGCTGGTTACCAAGGCCGAGGGCAAGAACCTGATTCAGGTAAGCCATGTTCTGCTTCAATAATACTCTTTCAACCAGCCACTAACACACTGACAGGCATGCCTCAACGCTCCCGACCCAGCCGCTAGTGAGAACGGTGTCGACGCCCCCCGATGTCGCCCCCGAGGCCCCCGAAGATGTGGCTCACAACAACGTCAACGCACCTCAGGGGAGTATGCGCCCAGGTATTCACCCTGGCTACATGACCAATGAGCAGCAACAGCAGATGGCGTACTACCAGAACCTCCAGCAGCAACAACAGCAGGCTGGTGGTCAGTACCCCATGCCGGTCGGCGGTCGCATGCCACCCCAGCACCAGCCCACTGCTTGAATGCTTAAATTATGATCTGATCTTTGGGGTCCTTCTTGCTTAAGGTCCCTGATGCTGCGTCTTCTTCTCTGTTCTTTCCTCCCTGCGCCTCGATCTCGCGTTCATTTGATACCCGTCTCTATGCCGATCCATCATCCCACTCTTCCCTCGGAAATGGTTGCGCTGTATCTGCATGCGCCATTTTCCGGGGCACTCTCGTGAGACTATTTGTAAATTGTCAAGCACCGCGCTGGAATACCCTTCCAGTCTCTCTTTGATGATACTGGATCTGGTTTTTCCCTTTGATATTGCTTTCTATCTCGGAAAAAGGAGAACCCCAATTTGCTGAGAACTATGGCTTTCCAATAACCCAAAAAAACTTCACCAAAAAAAATGTCCGTCACAAAAAAAGAAACCAACTTCAAGAAAGAGAAAGAGAGCGCAAGCAGGCAAATCTGGGCTTCATCGCTAATTTGGCTTTTGTTTTTCCCCCTCTACCTGACCATGGCGGAGGATGGAGGTGTTCGTGGTGCATTGAAACTTGTCGGCGAAGTGGCTTTTCCTCCTTAGTCTTTTTTACTCTTTTAGTTCTTAACCTATTTCCTTGTCCACTGGTTATGTTATTTTTCCTCATTGTCTAATCTCAAACTGTGTGTTGATTGTTTTTCTTTCGTTGATTCCATGCCGTGATGAGACCGTCTGTCTTGGCTATGACGGATTTTCAATGCCTCTCGGTTCGAACTTCGCACCGCTATGGCTCTGGCTGGGTCATATTATGTATGCTATGGAGCAATCGGATTCTGTTCATTTGGGCTGTCTTGTTGCTTGCTGTAGTCGTGATGGTCTATGAGTAGACTTGTGTTCTGCTCTGTCTCCATATAGTGTGAGGCCCCGCTACGATGTATAGCTGGAGGGAACAGCAGATCCAAAATATATATCCTCGCCTGTGTATTTATTAGAGTAGATGGTCTCAGAACGCAGTTCTCTAGGCGTTTTAGTATAATTTCAGTGTTAAAAGACCAGTTGGAATAGTATCCATGGACGTTAATATTAGGGTTACTATACGATTTGTCAGATATATTTCCAACCACATTCAATGACATTCGATTATTTTGATATGCTGTATGACTGCTGCTGCTTTGTTCTAAACCTGTCCAACCTACATCCAAGCCGAAGAGATGTATACCTTGACATGCATGAAAAGAAAAGAAGAAAGATTGCTGACCTGCATATCAGAGGCCAATGCCACGACCGAGGGGGTTTTGGCAGGCATTGTGACTGGTTTGCCTAAAATCTTTGTATTATCACCATAACGGAATATAGACTAAATACTTGGGTAGTTGGAATTTGTTATGGTGTAGGTCTGATTATTATATATAAGTGCGAGTAAATTGTATAATTGATGGTCTTATATTCATTCGTATGGAGCTATATCATCGATTGGGTGGTATCATATCATAGTATCTTGACAGTGTATGGCGGAACATAGAAGAGAGATCGAGATTGATCTTTTCTCGACCGGAGCCAGGAGCGACGGAAGCAACAGTGCGTGGTATGCCCAAGGAAGAGGGGCTACTGTACATGGGGATTGAAAGGGCGAAAAGCTAAGAAAAATCCAGGATGGTAGTGTTCTGAAGGCAGCGATTGACTGATCGGAGCAAGGGTCAATATTATGTGGAGCTGATTAGGGGAAAGAGTATATTGAAAAAAGTGTCAAGGGGATGACGATGGCTGAAGGGTGTCGGATTCAGGGACCGGGATTCCCTGTGTATATCCTGTTCGTGGAAGACGGACGCCAGAGTGCGGGAGTAGGGACGAGGAAGAGCCAGCTTCCGGGTCAATCTCAGCCTGACTGCCCGCCTGCGGGCTGCTCCACCGAGAGAGATATTGTCTCCCAAACTTCCAGACACCTGCCAGAGCCCTCCTTGGGTAAACAAGAAGGCCAGATCTGGCGCCAGAAGAACGAATGATGGGGAAGTCGTTGCGCCAGTGCGTATCATCGCCATCCTCTTGGATAGTTCCGTACCCACCGACCTCTTGGTTAGACGATGATGTAAACGGACCTCCAGCCCCCCGACGTTTACGATGGGCGGCCGACAGTAGCCCACTCTGAGGTGCTGAGGTACGACGCCATGGGTTCCCACGTAGTAATCCCTGGATTTCGCGAGATCCCCTTTCGCGATCATTTGTAGTAGCGCCGATCGTCGACTGCCGTGTCAGACCCCGTAATGGGCCGTTTAGAGTTGCGCTACCACTGACGCTGCGTAGGCGATCTGCCGACGACTTTTTATCCCCATCTGTGGAATCGTAGTCTGAATCGTCGAGTTCAGCCCAAATAGATGCGGGGTTTAGATCAGCCGAGTCGCGATCAAAATGTAAGTTGAGTGGTAAGCTGGGAGCTCTTCCCCGCTGATATGAAAGATGTCGAGTATGGGTCTTCGGGTTGAGAAGTGGCTCGCATTCTCCAATCTGTGATTCCTCATGCTGGCCATCAAGCAACCCAGGCGATGTCGGAGAGTGCTCTTCCACGATTGCCATACCTGGCCCAAGTCCGGTCTGCGTGGAACCGACAGTGGTAACAGCGGCGTGTGTGTCGATATCCTCAAGTCGCCATGACAGGCACAAGACACCACCTAGGAGAATTATTGTTCCCAGAGCGATGAGACCGGCGTGAAAGCCCGCCAGTTGAGACACTTGCCGGAAGTAGATCAGGCCATCCAGGATAGCAATGATGTTGTAGATGCAGAACACAAAAGGATATAGTACACTAGTACTACACAGCTTTAGCCCCCGATGGAGATAGAACAACTGCGTCAGTGCTAGGAAGATCATCCCTAACAGGATAACCCATGATTGCCAATGATTGAACTGGTTCACACCGTCTACCACTGTGCGCACGAGAAGCTCCACTGCCGACTTTGCCAGCAAAAGGGAGTGAGCTGACAGTATACCACTGACGAATCCATAGCTCATGCCGCGGATCAATCTCATTCGGCTATGCAGTCGCAGCAGATGTGGCGAAAAATGACCGGAGGCCGAAGGTTTTGCGCGTGAGGATGGCGGGAAGTGTTTCAGCATTTTGGTGCTTACCAGTACCAAACAAACCACCAGGGTGGTGGCGCCCATCCACAGAAGAAATGGCCGTCGCTGGAGGAGGTCCAGGAGCTGATCCAAGGTATGTGCGGGTTCCCCGATGGCGCCGAAGGTCGCAATCAACAACGCGCCGATGCAGACGAGAATGGTGCCTGCGAGAGAATATCGGGTAAAGGGTTCACCGAGAATGAGGGTCGCAAATATGGTGTTGAACACTAGTCCAGACTATTCGGCATTCCCATCAGCAACTGATCTACGTCGTGGCATGGAGGGGGAACCACTGACCGCTTGGAGCGTCGAGAGAACTGGTAATGGAAGTGTGGTGATTTGGATGGTACTTCCAACAATATTGGAAATCACAAACATCCCCATTCCTACTTGCCATCGTCGGCGCTTGTAGGGGGGTCTGCGCACATCGTAGGGGTGCTTCTCGTCCTCAAGCAAATGCGACTTGCGTTGGAGCGTGAGCCCTATAGCTTGGAGGCTGGTTGAGATCAGCCCAACAATTACACCAACCTGATATCGATATTAGGCATTAGTTTTGATATTGTCCCGCAGTATATCCTGATTTCTGTGGTCTTACCGCAACACTTCCCTCCGGCGATAAGTCACCTAGATTGCCCATGTTGCGTATCGTGCATTGGTCGGGTCGAGGGATAGAAGAGGCGCACCAAGTAGGAAAAATTACCGGAGTAAAGAAGCCATAGCTCAGATAGATTATAGGAAAAGACAGGATCACGCTGAAAGGGTAGGTTGTCGAGGGGAGTGCAGAGGACCTGGATGCGGAACGCCAAGGCAATGCAATCCGAGCTTAGTTGGACACAACATCCTTTCCCTTTTCCCCACGTCATTCCACCCCAACAGGCTATACAGCAGTGCACCGCCAAAATGTCACAAAGCCATGCTCTTTCAGATGATCAGGTATGTTCGATGTTGACTCTAAGTTTCGGGGAACTGAGTTGAACTGATGGCCATCGAATCCAGGTCGCGGGCGAGCTCCGCAAGATGACCGCCTTCATCAAGCAAGAAGCCCTTGAGAAAGCTCGAGAGATCCAGTTGAAAGCCGACGAAGAATTTGCGATCGAAAAGTCGAAGCTGGTGCGCCAGGAAACTGCGGCCATCGATACCCTCTACGAGAAGAAGTTCAAGCAGGCCGCCATGTCCCAGCAGATCACTCGGTCCACACTTGCCAACAAGACCCGGCTCCGCGTGCTCGGTGGCCGTCAGGAGCTGCTTGATGAGCTGTTCCAGAATGCCCGTGAGAAGGTCTCCAAGGTGGCTGCCGACGACCAGAAGAAGTACCAGGCCATGCTCAAGGGGCTGGTTCTCGAGGGCCTGTATTATCTGAACGAGGATAACGTTGCGATTCGCTCGCGGAAGAAGGACTTCGATATTACCAAGAAGGCTATTGAGGAGGCGACCAAGGAGTATAAGGACAATGTTGGCTCCGAGGTGACCGTGACCTTGGACGAGTCGGAGCCGTTGCCAGAGGGATCGTGAGTTCATTCGCGCCCCTCCCCCCCTTCCTCCTGATATACGCCAATGAGACTAACTAGGTTGCAGTGCTGGTGGTGTGTTTATTGTCGGTGGACAAGGCAAGATTGAGATCAACAACACTTTCGAGGAGCGTCTGCGGCTGCTGGAAATTGATGCTCTCCCTGCAGTCCGAGAGACGCTCTTTGGCAAGAACCAGAACCGGAAATTCTACGACTAAGTGTGCATTGCTTGTTCTATCTTGGTTTTTCGCGTTTGCGACTGCTGTATTTCGTGTGTTATAGTTCGGGTAATCTTTGCCTCTCTTGACCATCTTCATAGACAGAGGGGGTTTCTTTGCACAGTTCAAGTCTGATCTGGAATATGATCGAACTCTTTTAGCGATCGTTTTCATTCCATGTTTTTGACTACATTGGTATTCTGTAATAAAACGCCTGGGAGAAGAATTCGCTTTCGAGGGCATTATCATAAGGGTCATAAGTCATAGGGTGATAGAAGAAAGTCCGGTATTTCAACATTTCAACCCATTCGCGCAGTATTTCTGCTTCTTCAGGGTAAGTTGAGATGTTGAGACTCAAACTGCCAATGTGATCAGGGTACCTGACCATGCGCGCGGATGGGAATCTCTGTGTCACCATTCTCCGCGTCGCCTGGCCCTGCAGACGGATTCATTCCTTGCCTGGTTTCAGGATGTTGCTTTCCTGCAGCAAGCGCAGCAAAGTTGCTGAAATGTCTCCGAATGTTACCATCTCTCTCCTTTACATGTGATTCGAAAATGGTAGTTTTCGGCGGTGGCTTGGACCGAACTGAATAGACAACTCGGTAATGCAAGGCCTCGAGCTCACTCTTTGCCACCGTCCGTGTCACATGCGAGGCTCCGGAATCCTGAATAGAGCAGAATATCATTTTGATCTGAGCTGCCAGCCTGTCGATGGCAGCGTCGTAGTCTTTCTCGGTTTGAGTACTGCTGAAATTTAACTCCAACGCAGACGAGTCAATTGCGACGTTGAGAAGAGCAGTGAGTGCAGTTAATTCCCTCCAGTCGTAGTCGGCTATACCCTTGAATCGCTTGACTTGGAAACGCTCATCGCGGAGCAGTAACATTGTGATACGTTTGATATCAAGCAACTTTTCAGGAGGTTCGGTGAGAGGACTAGGACTCCGTAGCAGAAATGCCACGGCCAGGCGACATCGTATCAGTGCAAACCATGGAGAGGTGGGCAAGATATGATGCACAATTTGACTTTGGATGCAAACATCATGTATAGTGTTGTAGAAAGTGGTGCAGACTCGACGCAACTGATGTCGTTAGATTTGAGCAAGGCATAGCATATAGGAGACAATACTCACCGAATCTTCGGCACTCGCTTCATGGAAATTCTCAGGATCTAACACAGCATTGATGGTCCACTGAAGCTCCGAAGATACCGTCGAATCCGCCGTTAATGAAACATCAAGAGTAAGACGTAGCAGTAGGAGTACCACCTGCTCTTGGGTGTCTTCTGCAAATCTACAGATTTGTAAGCCTTGCATTGGCAGGATTTGGGGAGTGAAAACTCACAAGCCAGCAGTTTCTCTGAGTAATCTCAGGACTGAAACAAAGGTTGCATGGTCTTTCAACGCAGAACCCGGAGGAATATCTGACAGCGTTTATTAGCAAGATCGGGAGCTACAAGCAAGGTGGTCGAATCATACACTGAGAAAGAACTGGGATAATCTTCTCCGAAGTATCCAACGCCTGGCTCCGAGCACCCAATCGCGAGAAAAGGTCATTGATATCAGCTGGACGGATGAGCAACTTTAGGCGCTCGATATTCATATTCTTATATATTCAGTTAGTGAATACCACCTGGAGTTTGATATAAGAGCATTTACAAACCTTAATAATTCGGTAATAAGCATTGCTCAATTCCTCCCGACGTTCATAGGGTACTGGGAGGCATGTTAGCTTCGTGCCAATGAGTAAAAGATGGAGAAGACGGACTGGAACGAAACATCCACAAAATGAATTCGTCCGGCAAAAGTCCTTTGGATAAAGCCATCTGAATAAATTCGCCTGACATGAACTGACGCTCACGAGTGTCGGATTCTGCAAGTCAGTTAGCATGTAATAAAGAAAACAGCGACCCATTTGAAGCTCACCCCTTAATATATCCATACTCGTCCCAGGTGCGAACAGATCCCGTGGAAATGGGGGGACCGGCGGCAATGTCTGTGTGCAATCAAAAAATCGCCAGGCGCGGCCGTGATCAAGAGCATCGGTTCTTCTAATAGCACCTATCAGACGTTGACCTCCAACACCGTCTTCATTCTCGCCAAGCGCTGAGATCAACATGGTTTCATTCAGGGCAGTGCTGGACGGGTCGTTTCCGGGATTCTTGCCGTTCAGTTGCTCCTGTACATAATTGGCTCTCGCCCGAGCGACACTGGCTTCAACCTCGTTATCATCCACTGCATCGTGAACGAGAGAGTCAATGTTATGTCTGTATTTCTTTGGCGATGATATTTTCGTGGTGAATTTGGCCGGTGCGGATTCGTCCATCTTAGACTTTGGAGCGAAAAGATTCTTCGGGTCTTCCAACGAGCATATCGAGTCTGTGTCTTCCCCGTCAGAGCTGATGACTATCTCTCTGCCATCCTTGACAATGCGCTGAGATCCGCTGAGGCTCTCGTTCAGAGATGAAACCCCCGTGGCTGACTCGATGCTTTGGAAACTTTGATGTAGTGTAGGGGGGTTGAAGGAGGGTATCCTGAGTTGATAGATACAGCGCCGCGTTTAAGTGGGCCTCAGCATCTTGTTCGGATTCTGGTGATATCTGATCGAATACAAAGGAAGAGGGGGGCTCGGTGAGGGGTGAGGATTCGGTTGCAAGTTCCGCGGTTTCATTCTTCTCAGGTGTGCTGTTCGAGTTGACATGATCAAATGCAGGCCTATTGAACCATAGATCTTTTATGGTCCGCATGATGGGGTATGCTGAGGGGATTCCTTTTTTTCCTAAAATAGAAGAGGCATATATCGCGTCGTCGAACGCGCCGGTTCGGCGCGATGTCACATGAGTGCTGACTCATTCTTTCTTTGTTTGCTGTGGAACCTCGGGGCAACTTTGGAACGCTAACAAGTCAATCTCTTTGAGACCAAACTCATATTGAGGTCAAAATGAGGCATTGAACTGACATATCTACGAGAGTACATACCTCGTACTACCTAAAACATACTTGGCTATGAAGTATGCTAGTTATATACTATATGTTTTATTGTCTATTGTAGATCTGACAGCCACATTCCTGGTGGCGTCGATCTGTGGGCTGATCCTTGATGACTACTCCATCCACGGATACTTCCAAGGTTGGAACTGCCTAGGTGTCCAAGTGCAAATTTTGTTTGAACGACAAACTTGCGAGAGACGTGACCGATCCTGTTATATATGTTCACTGTATCAGTCTAGTTCTAGGAGCAATAACGCCCCAATTAAGTTTAGTTAAAACGACAATACGCTAAATATCGGGTCCCACCAGTATAGTTCGTGGCCGAGCGGGCTGACGACACCCTGACCTGCATGTCTTATGTTGTATCAGCACACCATTCGAATGCTGCACTGTATACAGAGCGCTGTCGCTGCTTTTGCTTTAGACCCTTGCCTCGAGATCTGTACGTCAATACTTTAGAGTAACATATCCGTGAGACATGGGTTTTGGTATGGAGTAGGGCTAGTAGAAAGGGGGAACACGAGTCCCGGGCAACCCGCGAACTCTACGAGCGCGTTGATCATCGGGGCTGTTCAGGAGTATTCTCCTGAAGCCAAGAGTTTTCTTTTTGTTCTTTTCCTGCCAAGAAAAAAGGGACCGAGATGCATATACGGAGGACTGTTGTAACATAAATATTAATACACGCGGCATAAAAGCATGGGTCCAATGATATTTTGATCCATACAGGGCACGCCTTGGGAATTTGGCAGATACTACCCACAACATAACTAAATACCTATCAGAGCGAAAATTAAGAAAGCTGACTCAGATGCCCAGGTGGGCCGGAAAGCTCGTGCCGTGTCGGTGGTTTCAGGATTGATGCTCCGACCCCGAGTTCTGGGTCTCTGATATCATTAAGGGACGTGTGAGCCAGTGTGCTCAACTCGGATTCTTCAAACATGACCATATATGTTGTATTTCTATCTTTTTTCATGATCGCTACCCAGATAGAAACTTCATCTTCAGTAAGAATTTTAGCCTGGTAACTACCTAGGTATATAAAACTTGGAACACGAGGAAAGGCCAGCTGTTAAATTAATAGTTCATAGTGGGGGCAAAGAAACAAGAGCTGTGGGCCAATAACCGTTACTCCAGAGTCTTCATACGGATGAAACGGATATATACGGAATACGGAGTACGGAGCACACTTTCTTAGTGAAGAACTGGGGAGAATTACTCCGTACGGTAGGTAATCCCCCGTTAAGCCTAGTCGTAAGCGATCATAATGCTGACGGTGGCAGTGCGGCGATACGCACTAATGAAAGGAAACCGAAACAAACAAGAATCTACTTCCCTATGTACCCAATATCTCCAAGCGACCAAGATACGTATTCATACTATGTATATCAATATATTCCGAGCGTCCCAGAGTTCAAGTGCCGAGTACCCCGATTGCCACTGTCAGAAATTTAGAAGGGGGAGGTCGGAACGGGGCTGGACGTTATAATTACCGGACTTTACACGTATTGTCCCTTGAGTCCGAGATTGTATACATCGCTACCTAAGCCCCATCAGCCCTAGGTGATTATTTAGATTGCTGGTTCTAACACGAATTAAGCTGCCTAAAGGTGCCTAGAACAACAGAAACAGGCAGTGTAAAACACGGTCAAAACATATTATACCAAATTATACAAGAGAATTATACCCAAATTATACCAATATAACAGTTGACGCGTGTAAAGATCTCCCGCCGAGCCCACTTTGGATGACAAAGCAGAGGTATCTTGACCCGGCCCCATCGGTAAGCATCCATGGACGGGTGGTAACAATATTACATACTCTCCTGTACTGAGATCCATACGAGAGTCAGGTGGCTGCTCCATCTCTCTCTCTCACCCCTCGAAGCACAGAATAACCACTTTGGTGCTTCTTCTCTTTCTTTCTTTTTTTCACTTCAGCATTTTGAATGGCCCCTTGCGGGTGCGCCCTATAACCTCTCGGCTTTCGCATTTCATATTCCCATCACGATCGGCCGCAGAAACCCTGTTTTGAATAGTTTTGGT